TGACCAAGAAATACAACTTGATTAAGCCAAAATTCACATTTATTGAATTTGGCATATAACTGTTTTTCACTCAATATCTACAATACAATTCTCGATTGCTCAAGCATGCTCCTCCTCATTATGGGAATACACCAAAATATCATCAATAAACACTATAACAAACTTGTCTAGATAGGGTTGGAACACCTTATTCATCAAGGTCATAAATGTTGTTGGTGCATTCGTCAAGCCAAAAGGTATTACAAGAAATTCATAATGCCCATAGCGAGTCCGAAATGCGAGTCTTGGTACATCCTTACTTGCTATTTTCAACCGATGATACCCGGATCTCAAATCGATTTTAATGAACACCCGAGCACCTTGCAACTGATCAAACAAGTCATCGACTCTCGAGAGAGGGTATTTGTTCTTGATGGTCACTCGATTCAACTACCGATAATCAATACATAATCTCGGTGTGCCGTCTTTTTTTTCACAAACAATACCGGGGCTCCCCACGGTGATGTACTCGGTTGGATATACCCTTTATCCAGCAATTCTTGCAACCGAGTCTTTAACTCTTTTAACTCGGTAGGAGCCATCCCGTACGGCGTCATAGAGATAGGAGCCGTGCCGGGCAAAAACTCAATGGTAAACTCCACATCTCTATCCGGTGGCAATCCTAGTAATTCCGTCGAAACACATCTAAAAATTCATTCACAACGTGTATGTCTTCTAACTTAACCCCTGTCGGTTTAGTATCAATCACATGAGCTAAATATGCTTCGCAACCCTTCCGAATCATCTTATATGCTTTAATTGCGAGATACTAAATAAGTAGGTAAAATTTTTTGATCTCCTCGAAATATTAGTCTTGCTTGATTTGGCAAATCAAATTCAACTTCTTTAGTAAAACAAGTTCACTATAGCATGATGCTTTGTCAACCAATCCATCCCCAAAATGACATCAAAATCATGGAAGAACATGAGTAATAAATCAGCATCTAATTCGGTATCTCCTATCCGTACCACACAATCCCGACATACTCTATTAACCTCAAGTAATTCTCCTAAGGGTGTACTAACATGTAGATCATATTCAAGGGGTTCAACACATTTATGGATTCGAGATGCAAATGCGAGGTGTCATGAATGAATGCGTGGCTCCGGGATCAATTAAAACACAAGCTTCAATATTAGAGACAAGTAATTTACCCGTCACCACTTCGGTGCAACCACTGCTTCTTGTCAAGGAATTGTATAAACCCGTGCTTGAGCTTGAGATCGGCTACTTTGAGCCTCGGTTCTAGCTCAACCTTGTGTCATTGTGACATTTCTCGGTCTACCTCGACCTTTACCTCTTCCATACTTGGACATTCACATTACTCGACCTTGGCCCCCGAACGGTGGACTCGGATGCGGTACCGCTCACTTCGTTTCTCTTCGAGCAATCTCTAATCATGTGATCTAGAGACCCACGGTGGAAACATCCACCGGTCAATCTTCGACATTCCCCCTCATGTCGTCTATTGCAATGCGTACATACGGGTCTCGGATCCATAGAGTCGCGTCCTCGGCCTCGGTCTGCGGTAGTCCGAGTACCACTCCGGGTTTGCTTACTTCCTTAATAGCCACCCTTGAACTTTCCTGGAGCGAATTTTGATGGAGTAGGGAGACTTGGTTCTTTTCTCTTACCCAAAAACGTCGCACTTTCAACTGCTCGCTTCTTTGTTCGGCCTTTCAGCTCGGATAGCTGCAGCTCTCAATCGGACATAGCTATCTATATCTCCCTTCTTTAAACTTCCAAGCATTTATCTCGTTCGGTAGCTATCATGAACGATGCATACCGAGACAGCTGGTTAAACCGCACCTCATAATCCATCACGGACATATTATTTTGCTTCAAATTCAGAAATTCTTTTCTTTTCTCATCTTGATAAATCTCCCGCATGTAATTATCTCAAAATTCCCGAAGAAAATCTACCCATTGAAGGACAAGAGGCTGCACTATAGCATTTGGGATTGTCTTCCACTAGTCATAAGCATTTCCTTGGAGAAGAGACACCGCATAATCAAATCTTTCATCCGGAGTGCATTGCATCATATTTAAAATCCTCTCTGTTCTATTTAATCGGTTCTCGGCTTTGATTGGATCCGTAGACCCCATAAAATCAACTCGCTCCATATTTTCGTAGTTTATCATATCTTCGTTCTCTTAGTCTATTTTCAAGACCATGTTGGTGTAATGCATATGCATGAGGTATCCGTTGTCCAACCCGAGTCGCGGGTGGTTCCATATGTACACGAGAGGTATATGAAGCCTCTACGGCATGCCGATCTAGTCGCTCCCTCTCTCTACAGTGCCTCATGGTTAAAACCATGATCACCTACTTCTTCCATCCTATATATATGAAATTATGTCATGTCATGTGCATTTATACGATATCATGTATGCATGTATGCCCTATGCCCATATGAATCATATCCCCGCTCCGATACCAAAATTATAGCGTCCTTAACCTAATTCCTTACAAAAACTTCGTATAACTTAGCCATTTTGGTTCTAGAAAACTCAATTAATCACAAAATATCACTTATGATCGTTAAAACCTCATATTAGAAAGATTAGAATTTTTTTTTTTTGGGGCGACAGAGTTACACGGCCTCCAACACGGTCGTGTACTTGCCCGTGTAACTTAAAACTCATTTTCCCTTGAAAATAGAAGGTTACATGGCCTTCCACACGAGCATGTACCTTCCCGTGTACATTTACGCCCAAAACAAGGGTTTTTCAGCCATAACACTTCAAAACCTAATCAACAACATTCTTTCCACTTATAACCCTTGGATATTCAATCAAAACCACTTTTTCTTTTTTCATAAACACGTGTCAAAACACCTCCAGGAGTTCATAGTTACATAGTTACATGTACAATTCAAAAATCTCTTAGGATGCATATGCTCGGCATAATGAGAGAGAGGAGAGGGAGATCGCCAGTGACTCGTCACTTATGACGTGAATTGAACAACAAAAGATGACTTTAACTTCCACTTTTTGCTTCTTAGTACCTAAAAAAATAATTGCATTTTTAATGAGATGTTACTCAATGAGAGAACAATAATCCATTGAAACCATAACATGCAATCACGTCATCCCGTATCATCACATATAAACAATACGGGTAGTTCATATGACTCTAAGATTATATGCTTTTCTTTTTCTTATCGGTTACTAACTTGGACATGTCAAGTTTCACCCGGGACTTGTAACTTGTAAACTTGTACACATGTATTGCTGGCCGACTTTTATAACTTGTAGTTGATCCGTTGAGTCCTTGTAAACTTGTATTTGCGAAACTTGGACAAGCCAATCATAACCTTAACCTCTTAGTTTTGCATATATCATGAATGTTTCACATATAGCATATACAACATCCATAGCTTACACCATGGTACATATCCATTATAACATCAATAAATATAACGTTTACATCAATTAGCAAACGACACATCATTCACATCATAGTATCAATATCAATAAACATAATATTGTTATAACATCAATAAACATAACGTTTATGTCAACTAGCAAACGGCACATCATTCACATCATAGTATCAACATCAATAAATATAATATTAGCACTCAATAGCAATTACACATCATGGCACAACCATTATTATTCAACTCACAAAAATGACGTCTTCGCCGTTTATCAATGCATCGTGTCTCGCACCTCACGCTCCTCGGCGTCTATAAACACATACACATATACTTTTATAAGTCATTTTATCATGATCAAACTTCTAAATATGCTCAAGGTACAAAATATGACTTTAGGGTTAACTTATTTCTTTATGGGTACTTGACCCATTTTCACTCTTTCTACCATAAGTCCCAAAATACAGATTCAAATGATGCAATTCTAGTTTCACATGAAACTAGACTCATAGGGCTCTAACATGTCCAAAAATCAAGTATAGGTACGAAATACACAACTCATGGTGATTTTCTAAAAATCGGAGTTGTCGCCATTTCTTTATGGGTACTTGACCCCTTCATAGTTCACACTCTTTGTACTATAAATCCTAAAATACCAAGTAAAATGACAAAATTCCAGTTTCACATAAAACTAGACTCAAAGGGATCTAACATATCCAAAAATCAGCCAAATATTCCATATACATGATTTATTCTAGATTTTTAAACTTTAACTAGCTTCCAAGCACCCTTGTTACCGAGCGAGTCTCTAAACAAACAACAATAAATCTAGATTGGGACATGATCAAGACATAATTCGTTTTTTAAAAATAACTAGACATATCAATATAAAACATATCCCAAAATCAGGTCGAAATACTCAACACCCAAAGAATACTATATTTTTAAAGTTTGCACACTAATCTGCAAACATCGGATCACCCGAACAACATGTGTTCAAACCATCATAACCCGAAATATAAATCACTAAATACAAAACCCTTTCACAGAGAGCTAGATAAGACACAAAAAAATAATTTTTATTCTATAACTTGTTTCAGATCTGACCCTAAAGTCTCGAAATCAAGAGTACAAAACGAGCTAGGGATGAACTTACCTACATTTCCAGCTTGATCATCCGAATTTGACAAAGAAATGGGGTCTTCCTCTCTTTCTCTCTCTCAAAACGGGAAACCAGATGGGATAAGAAGAGATAATGATCAGGTAAATAATCTTGATAAGGTTGTGAAGATATTTTGGCAAAGTTCGTTTTGGTCCCTCAAGTTTTAGCTTGTTTTTATTCTAGTCCCCCAACTTAGATTACATTCAATTGAGCTCCTAATTCTTCCTATTATTCAAAATACTTATTATCCAATACCCCACTAACATGTCATGTGCAGGTATAATTATATACGTGTAATTCTTAAGTATGCGTGTATGCATGAACGAGTGTATGTTTTTGGGACGGGGTTATTACGACTCACCCCTCACAAGTCACAACCCATTAACCCACCTCTTTGAGTCTCTGTCATCTTCCTTGAATGGAAGCACGGAAGAGGAAGCGGATGACAAAAAAGAAAGAGAATAGAGTGACGATGATGAAGAGGGGGAACGAGGAAGAAGAAGAAGAAGAAAACGCATTGGATTCAATGGAACAATATCAATGATTTGAGCGTCTTGAATATGAAGCTCTTGCCAAGAAAAAACGCAAAGCACTTGCTAATGCCAAGGGGTTAGTAACACTAACGATTTGCCTACATTGCTTTCTCGTTTTTATAGTTACTTGAGAACATAGTTTTTGTTGTGCTTATTCTAGTTGTTTAAATGATGATGATAGCAAAGGGTTAGGGAAAAAGGCAAGACAGGATGGCGGGACTAGAGCTAGTTTGGCTAAAATAGAGAAAATTATAAATTTTGGTATGCGAAAAAAGAGAATAAGACGAATGGTATGGCATTTGTTTCGGGGTTGAATTTGCTATTAGTTTTTACTTCGTTGTCAATTGGTTTATGTGCTTGTATATATTGAATTAGAAGAACTCCGTATAATTGATTCCTTAGCTAATAGTTGAGAATTTATTTAGACAAAGTAATCCACATAGCTTGTTTGCTCGTTTTTATTTTTCATTTGCAGCCTAAGAGAAGAGGTAGGCGAAGGGATCAAAAAACAAATTTAGCCCCGAGATCATATGGATGTTTGGTGATGCCACTCTTCACTATGCTTATGGTAATTAGGAAGAGGTAAGGTGCTTTATCAATCTTAATTTCTATTGCCACAATGTGGTTTTGGTAGGTTAACCTTGAATACGATCGGTTTTTCTATGCAGTTGATAGTGACATATTTAAAGCCACCGGTCGCTACATTAGTGTTGCTCATAGCCGTGATTCCGGTATCTCAATGGAGGATCCGTGTTGCTCTATTCGCTGGAGGATTGCTTTGACATCTTTGGTCGGTGGTTTGTTTGGTTTTGCCATTGCATGAAGCAACTAATGCGTGGAGGCTAAACTATGGGGAATGAGGATTCTAGTTGGAACCGGACTTCATTTATGGAACCAAACTTGTGGGAAGTTCTTCAAAGTGTCTAGTCGCTTTGAATTCTCTTGTTCACGAAAGATAATTTTTGGGTTACTATGTTCTAGTATGTCATTTACCGAAAGTGAGTACAAAAGAAAAGTTTCTAACAAGTATATAGTTCAAAGCCACTCTATGGTTATTGTATTAGCTTCTTTTTTTAATCGGTTTTAGTGGTTGATCTTCATTTTGTTGCTTAGCGGGTGTGCTTTAGACTATGCTTTTGCTACATTTGCGGTTTTTTCATTTGAACTTATTTGCATGCTCGTTTGATATGTGGTGCTCGATAAGAAAAATGCTTATGTTATACTTGGATATGTTATTGAAGGGACCCTAGCGAAGATAATAATTAATGAACCAAAGGAGGTTCGACTCATGAATGCATTAACCGCACAATTGAACATACAGGTACATTACATCTCGTTCTCTGCCCATGTAGATTATGCTCGGACAAGTACATTTTTAAAAAAGCTCAAAATTTTTTTTTTTTTTACAACAAAAAGTTTGGTTAAACCGAATTATTTCGAAATCGAACCGAAATGGTTTCAAAATAATTTGGTTTCAAATCAAATTAACAGAATTAATTTTGGTTCGGTTTTGGTTTTCATTTTTTCTAATTCGATTAACCAAAAATGGAACCGAATTAAGCTTAACCGAACCGTTTAACCGAATGATCACCCCTAGCTGGAAGCACAGACCTAGCCATAAAAAACACATGAATTTTTTTGTAATACTAACTTAAAATCATTTTTTTATATATAAAATAAAAACTCAAAAAAAAAAAAAGAAGAAGAAGACTAAAAATTCCCTTATTTTTTGGAAAACGATAAAATGGGTTTCAAGCTAAAAAAGCATAAAACGACACCCCGTTTTAGTTCAAAGTAGCAAGACTTAGCTATCATAAAATCATGTCATTTTAGTACATTTACTAGTCGGTTGCTTGCGATATGTTCCAGATTGGGCAAAATAAAACCATTTTAAAATTTTAAAATTTTATAATTTATAATTAAGATTTTATATTTAATTAATTTTTTTATGCTTTTCATAATTTTCAACTTAAAAAACATGATTCATTCTTTTTTATTCATTGATTTTTAAATAGAAAATTATAATAATTTAAAATGAAGCATTAATCCAAAATTTAAAAAAAAAATTAAAATTTTTTTTTATGAGATTGTATATAAAAAATAAATTTTTGTATAAAAATTAACAAATGAAAAATAAAATTTTATTTATCTAATGCTAATGAGAATATTGTTTTTTTAAAAGTATATTCATTTTATTTATATTTATTTATTTACAAAATAATCATGTTAGCATAAAAAATTGTATTTCAATCATTTGATAATTTTTTTAATAATTTTATTTCAAATTTTTTTTTACAATATTTAAAAAATAGAAAATGGTTGGTAATGTGTAGATGTTTATTAATTTTCAATAAAATCAAAAATTTAATTTTTTTTATATACATCATGACTATACTTAATGGGTTGAAATTATGCAACATAAAAAAAAATCTCGGACAAATTATCTAAAACATATCCAATACATTTCATCGTTATCAGACTACTTGATATATATATTCAATCTTCCATAATTTGTTTTCTAATAATAATAATAAACAACTAGATAGAGAGAAGGTCTGCTTATGTGCTTGGGCCTAGTTCCAGGCTTGCATGCATGAGGGCTTGATTCTAAGCCCGAGCAAGCGAGATCCAAAAAGAAAGAAATTGTACGACACTTCGTGCCTAAACTGCACAAAGTAATTGAGCATAAACAATGCTTATAAGTGTGGATTAAGAGTATAAAACGTTATTTGTACCGTCAAAACATGTTTTTTTTTAAAAAAAGTTTTATTTATAATAATATAATAATATTTGTGTCTTTCCACCGCCTGCAAAATCTTGAAATGCCCTGATATCCTGCCTAGGCCTAATACAGTATTCACCGAAGACGAAAAAAAAAAAAAAAAAAAATTGGGGTGAAAACAGTTATTTACTGTGAGATATTGCTTAGCTCTTGTTGATGTAAGAATTGCATTCTATTGAAATCCAACTTTGCGAATTTCAGCAGTATTTCATTCCGACTTTCATCTTCTTCGTAAAATTTGATGTACTTCCATGCTTCTACCCTTGCTATACCTCTGTGCAAGGGGTGGTTTATTCATTATATGCTCGCCAAGATGACTGCTTGATTGAGCTGCCCAGGACTCTAGGTGAGCGGTGAGCCTTTGCGAAAGCAATGGCCTCATCTAAAATCCCTTCTTCTGGAGTACTCATCATTTAGGCAGCTTCATATAAGCTTATCATGCCCTCGGTGTCCCTTGTTAGGAAATAAATCAAACAAAAAAATAAAATAAAATAAAATAATGAGAATCACACAACACAAAATCTATGAAATTCGACAATGTGTCTGTTCTATGGCTGCATTAGAAGTTTTTATTAGCTTTTTTAATCGAGTTACAAATACAAGAGATAACGTCTATGTATCTATAAAGTGGACAACTAAGGTTACAATAAAAAGGCCATATAGACTTATATACATGATCTAAGATTTCGTAGACCTTTGAGTTCAAATATATCTGAAGAATATTTTTGTTTTTATCAATAAAAAAGAGAAAAAAACATGCAATTAATCATTTGTTTTTTTTTAAATTAAATTAGAAGAATTTACTAAATCAGTTTGTATTATAAGAATGTTTAATTTTAGTTATTGAATCAATAAAAAAATAACCATTAATTTTTATGCTTTAATATTTCAAATGATCTAAAAAATCTAGACATAAAATAAAAATTAATTAACACTAATTGTGATAATTTATTTAATTTAATATATATTATGCAATATTTAATAAAATGTATGTATTCCATAATTGAGTTTAAATATACCGTGTGAATTTTTTTTATCAATAAAAAAGAAAAAATGCAATTAATTATTTATTTAAAAATAATCAAATTAGCTTTGTCAATTTATGTTAGAGTAGTGTTTAACGTTAGTTAATGAGTCTATAAAAAAAATTACCATTAATTATGGAGAAATTTTTTTTTGTGAATAAATAATAAAAAAATAAAATCATGAAAAAATATTTATTTTGAGTAAATAATAAATAATTAAAAAATTAAACCATAAAAGGAAAAAAATAGAAAAGGAAAAAAAGGTTGGGTTGAGCTAAAACCAAGCCTTTTGCATGGGCCTGGAGACCAATAGGCCCACTAGTTTGGACTGGAAGCATAGCCCAGCCATAAAATATTCACGGACAATATTTGTAATAAAAACTAAATTAAATTACTGTTTTATATAAATTTATAACTCAAAGGATCAAAGTACAAAAAATATATAAATAATTTTTTTTTAAAAAAAAACGTCATTGTTTCAACCCAAAGGACATAAAACAACGTTTTCTTAATTCATTGTACCAGGGTTTAACAACATGAAATCATATTCTTGTTTTAATATATGTATACTAATATGATATAATAACACTCTTTTTAACCATCAAAACTCTGAAAGTACTTAAAATAAACTAATAAATATATAAAATTAAACATTGAAATTCAATAAAATTAAATAAAAAGGAATTAATATTTAAACTAATTAAAGGATTTGTGAATTCATGCCCCAGCTCATAATTATATAAAGAAACGCAAAATCATGTCAAAATATAATGAAAATAAACAAAAGAATTCTTTCATCAAGGACGAATCAAATTAAGCCATTTAGTATCAGAATATGGTGATGTGGCACTGATATTCACCTCCACTTTCTCTACTCTACTTTTTTTTTTTTTTTTTTAAACCGAGGTTTAAAGACGTGTTCAAGACCAACAACATTAATTAATTTAATTAATTCACACTAACTGCTACCAGCAGGTTTCATGGTACTCAAAACAACAAACATTCTCAGATAACAGAAAATCTTAAAGCACATACATTCTTAGGAAAATAGCAACTGTCCTTCAACCTAAGTATCTTATATATTTTTCAAAAGAATTAAAGAACTTCAGATAAACGTTACCCAAACATGTTTGTAAATTAAGAAGAAATCTAGAACATCAAGAAAGGAAGACCACAAGACAAAACATTTACACGACTAACCATACCTCATATAGGCCAAAAAGAACACAACCTATGTATCGGATAAAAATTGAGAAAACATCTGTCGTTGAAGACCAACAAAAACGCAAACAGAGGAGGGTAATCAACCGAGACCAAACAATTTAGAGAAATCTGATTCCCTAAACAAAAAACAAATAAATTTTTGATCACTAATCTAAGACAATAGAACTTCTTAAGAGGTAAAAAAAAGTCCTAAAAACAGAATACCAATAGAGAAATTTTATATTACTTATAGAGTAACTAATGTAGATTATTTTATAAGAGAAAGATAGATATATATAATAATAAAAAAAATTTAAAAATGAATTTATGTGAAAAAATTTTTTATTATTTTTTATGGATCCACGTATAATTATTTTTTGTTTATCTATCTTTCTTCTGAAAAAATAGATCTATTATGTTTGTACAATAATTATTTTTGAGTATTTTAAAATTTTTAAATTCATAATAAATGAAAGAAAATATAGCAATAATAAAAATGGAAACAAATCCAGCAAAAAAACCAATTAAAAATTAGCAAACAAACGCTCGAGTTGCTTATTTGGCAGAAGAAATCAGAAAGCATGTCAAATCTCACTGAAAAGAGTCCATGTCAAACAATCTCAGACAATAATAACCCACCGTCTCAAAGCAAAAACACAACCCTCGACGAAAACAATCCAACAAAAAGAGTGAGGCTTATTAAGTCAAGAAAGAACTGGACAAAGTTCTAAAAAATTTAGGAACAGACAGTAGAAAAACAACCTCAAATCTAGTCTCAACCAAAAAGCAAGAGCAGGAAATGCTTTCTGGAAGATGAGAAGAAAATGTCTAGACAGCATGGCCGTCTAATAGAACAAAGAAAAACCAGCAGGGACAAAAATATAAAGGCCAAAAAGCACCCAAGATCATAGAAAAAATAACAAAGCAAAACGCGACAGAGCACGCATCGCCTCCCGTTCAAGAACAATGAAAAAACAGTAGTTTTAGAGAAGAACAATAGTGAATGAATAGCTAATCCACACGCATTGCACAGTTAATAAACAGTACATGAACAGTGATTGTACATTTTGTTTTAGTATTTTTGTTAATTGTTAATGGACAGACCAAAAAAAAACACATCTTCTGACCAATGCATGCACCATTTTGCATCATTTCTCATCTGTTATCAACAAACTGGGTTTCATATAACTTAAATGAGCAGGTCGCTTGTCCAATCGGAGAGCATTTATAAGGTGCTCTTCGTCTTATAAAATCATTATAAGATGGTGTGTATTCTTTTCCAGAACCAATAAAAGTGTTGTGGTTACTGATTGCCCTTACCTCTAGACTCAGTTGTGTTAGTGGATATGGAATCTTGGTTTTACATCACTGCTATGATTCTGTGAAATAGCATGTCTTATAATATTTCCATACACACAAAATATATATATATACTATATATATATATTCCTAGTAAACCATATGTATCTAATTTCTATGTTTTTACTTCCATTTTTAACTTATTCCTTTCAAATTTTCATATTCTCTTTCTATTTATTTTTTTCTTTTTTCTTTCTTTCTTTCTTTTTTTTTTTTTTTTTTGGTGAAAAATAGAAAAGGAAAAAGATAGGTAGATAAGATTAAAAAAAAGCAGTGAAATACAATATACAGATGTTGACAGGCAAATCAATAAAATCTATTTTGGTTTTGGTAAGACAGAGGAAATGGTTTATAATAGAAGATTGAAAGTTACAAAATTGAAGACCAAAAAATATATATATTACTATTACTATTACTATTGATTAGACAATCGTTAAAGCTTGAGCATATTAAAGCCTACCAAAATTTTAATTAATAGATGTGCTAGAGCTATCGGAACTAGCTAGTTAGAACTATCCGAACTAGCTAGTTTTCAGGAATTTCATGCATACATTGCTGCCCATTTTTGTTAAGGGAACAATAATAATCAAAAGAAAAAAGAGGCAGAATGATAATCTTTGGTTCCATTTTATTTTGATACAAAGTTAGGCTGAAATATTACCAGCCATAGTTTTTAAAAAACAGCTTTTATACAACGTAATAGTCGTTATATAACAAAATTGACAATAGCCGTTATCATTTTTTCGATATTATATATAATGAAATATCAGCCATTCATGGTCATTATATTCTTATATAATGTTAATTGTCATTATATCCATTTTTTTAAGACAAAACACCGTTACCTTCTTCAATGATATCTAAATTTATGTTTCAATCTTCAGTAGATTTAATTGAAACATAAAGAAAAAAATTTAAGAAGGAGAATCGGTTTTTGAAGAAAGAAGATAAAAGGAAGTTCGTGTCTTAAAAAAAAAAGAAAAAAAAAGAAAGGAAGAATAAAAAAAGAAGTAGTGATGCAGATATGGAAGAGAAATGAGTATAAGGAAGAGAGAGAGAGAGGCCGCAGAAATATATATATATATATATATATATATATATATATAGGTTTAGACATACCATCAATTCACTTAAAACCTAGAAGACTAATATATATATGTTAGGTCTATTTTACGTATTTAGATCTACATTTGTAAATGGTCTTAGTGATATAAATATTGGGTCTATTTTATGTATTTAGATCTATATTTTTAAATGATCTTTGTGATATAATTTTTATTGGACCTACTTTTCTGATACAATTTTAGTTGCACTTACTTTTTTATATTTTTTTAAGTGATATTGCATCTAGTTTTTGAATTTTTCTTTTTACGTACATTCTATACTTTAAAAAATTTAATATTTTTTTTATTGTACACAAAAAAAAAAAAAAAAAATTCTTTCACTCTAGCAACCAGTAACTAAATTATATTTTTATTATAACTTTTTATAAACAATAATGTTATTGTGTTTATTTAAGAAAACTATCAGATTAATATATATTATAAAAACTTATTATGAATTGCTAAATGATTCATAACAAACAATAGCCGTAACTGCTATATTTTAGCTGATAAAATCAACGCAATCCATTAAAACTATGGTACCAGCCCATGCATAAGACATGTACCCGGCCAAGTGCTCCTCAACTGGCAGCGTATAAAGCTTTCATTCCTTTAATATCATCGTCGTGCAAATGCTTGGTTTGAGCCATACCAGTATATGGCCACATGACAGCAGCCTCAACTGAGGAATGAGCAAGCCCTAAAGCATGCCCAAATTCATGCAATCCAACCGTCCCCAAGTCATAGGCTCCTGGGGTTGCACCAAATGACCAATTCATATCCGCATTGAAAAACACTGTCCCATTTGTTGGTGGATATGTAAAACCTAGTGTATTTCCAGCCATACCTTGACTCTTATCAAGGAACCCGATCTTGATGTCTGCAATACTAAGATTCCCATCAACAAAATTAAACGTAAAAGGTGCGATACCAACCCATGGTTGAAAAGAATATTTTGCAAGAGGCTCAATTACGTCCCTTCTGCTACCATGTTGAAGTCCCCAGTTAAGTACTTTCTTAGTTACTGGCCACCTAGGTGATCCTGGAAAGTGTGCGTACTTGATGTTATAGCTACCTGCAGACTTCATTCTAGTTTTGCCATCAACAATATCCGGCACCCCGCATCGCGGAATCATCAGCAACGACACTGTTTCTGTATCCAAGACTCCAGTGGGCTTCAAGTTGAAATTGAGTTGGTAGGTTTTGAGAGCACTTTCTAGGCTTTCATCAAAATAATCATCATCAATATCGCGATTATTTAGATGTTTCTGGTTTAGGTATCCAAAATGATGAAGGAATTTTTTGAGTTGTTGGATACCTTCTACATTGTCACCTTGTTTACATCCTTTTAGGAGCTTCATAAACTCATAAGGTGATTCCTTTCGCATATTTCGGTGTGCCCAACCTGTGTGAGATAGGAAAGAGAGGGTTAGGAAGCAAGCGAAGGCAAGGGCATAAAAGGTGTTGGATGTCATGACTAGTCAGAGGTGAAGTTGCTGATACTTTCAGGCCTATCTTCTTCTTCTTCTTCTTCTTCTTCTTCTTCTTCTTGATGAAAGACTTTCGTGCCTACTTTATATATACTAATTAATCACTGGATAAATTGTTATCCTTTATATTTTTGTTCCAAAATAACGATTTGAACAAAATATTTAAGTAATTTATTTTATTATAATATCTCTAATTGAAACTCTTTATTAGGAACTTACAATTAAAAATAGAGCATTTTAAAAAAATATATGGAAAAAAATAATGGCATGGCATATCAACATTAATTCTTAATATATGTAAAAAAATCAAACATGAAAATCTTTTATAGAAAAAAAAATCACCATAATACTTAATACTATTATAAAGAAACAATTACCAATAAGGAACTTTTCTTTTGATTTTCAACAAAGAATCACAAGCCAAACAAATGCAAAGTACAATGGTTGGTAACACTCTTCACGTTTAATATATGAGTTAATTACATATTTTGTATATAAAATTGTTAATTATTTATATTAATCTTTGTTATTTGAGTATATTAAATAGCAATATCTTTTTATTTGAGTTCTGTTAACTTTATACAATATGATCTGTTAACTATACATATGGCACCATATTATATGCTCTACTATCAGACATGTGGCAACAAAAAAAAAAAAAGATTTTATTATATATTTGGTATACAAATTTGTTATATTTTTTTCTATTTGAGTGTGTAAACTTTAATCTTACTATTTGAGTGTACTAACTTGTAGTTTTTTTTATTTGAGTGGTTTCGTTAACTCTAGGTTGATGACTCCATTAACTACACACGTGACACTATTATGTAAATTTTATTATCGGACACATGGAAACTAAAAACTTCATGCCACTAGATTCAAATTAAAATTTTTTAAAAGAATAATTTAACAAATATTTGTATTAAAAAATAAAAATAAAAATACTGTTATGAAAATAAAATAATTTTCTACACAATTCATTTTACTCAATCCAAATTTAGGCTGCCATTCACTCTAAATCAAAATCCAATTTCACCTCATCATCTTTCAAACAACCATTATTCACTCAAAGACTAGGAGTCATTCAAAATTTCACATCCTCACCTCCTAAAGAGAATACCAAACTACCCCGGTAAGTCTCATAATTTACAAGTAAACCCCAATAACTATACGCAATCAATAATAATTACCACAACTACCTAATAGTAAACCCACACCCACCATTATGAGAAAAACTCATCGTCGCCACTAACATCAAAACCCGTTACTACATATTAGAATCGATAACTACTAACAAACCATTTCTTAAAAAAGAAATCAAGATGAATGTACGAACTATAATTCTTGATGTTAGAGGATAACATAGAAGAAGAAAAAAAAAAGACGAATCGAGCTAGAAGTTTCTTGTCATAACCTAAATTCCCCCTTAAATTGCTTTTTTTATTATTTTTTTTTACTATTGGGGCATAATTAGATCAAAATAGAACTACAATTAGAGCAATTGAGGCTATAATGGAAGCAATTGAAAACTTTAGGACTAGAATTACAAGGTATTGGGACTTAATTAAAAAAATTAAAAGTATAGGGACTATAACGGCTCATCCAAGAGGGTACAATTGTTATAAAACTAAACCTATAGGACCTACATTGACATGAGGCACGAAAGACAAGACCAATTTGAAATCAACCCAAATAACCTATTGTTCGAATGCTCCCAAACTCTACCATAGCACGCCCGCCTTTTACCACACCACTCTTTGGCATTGTTCATCCCCATTGATGACTAGGGTTGTGTTTGTTTAGGAGAAAATAAGTTCCATATAATCAATTTCCGAGTAAGCTATTTTTCAAGAAATTGTTTTCCAAAAACATATTTTTTGCTGTTTGGCAATTACATGAAAAAATAGCTGAAAAATATATTTTAACCTTTGTTTGATATAGAAAATTAAAATACAAAAACATATGTGATTGTTATATCAACAAGTTTTGAAAAAACTTCAAAAATACATATTCATGATTTCACAATATAAGATACATTTAGAAAAATTTAATAAATTTTCATAAATACTAACTTTAAAATTTTAATTCAAAAAATAATATATATTTTTTTAACTATCAAACCAATTCATCAAAATTACTTGAGAAACAATCAAATCAATATTCACATTTAGTAAAAAAAGATTTTAAGTTATCCTAGTATTGTCATTTTGGTAACTCAATTAAGAATTTTTTCTTTTTTGTTAGAAATTGAAATGATAATTTAGTCTAAAGAATAGTTTTATAAATTATTAGTTATCACTTATATAAATTTATTCATTTGGCCTCAAAAAATTAATGTTAGAATAATTTGTAACAAATTATTCACTACAATACCAACAAAATTTTACAATTAATTAAAATTATTAATTATTAATTTAATTACAAATGAATAGTGTTGGAAAAATAATATATTTATTGATGAATTAATTAATTTCAATTTTTTTTTTACAAAAAATTATAGTTTTGTAATAATCATTTAAGTATAGTTTAAGTGGTGTTTGAAATAATAGTAACAAAATAAAGATAAATTATTAAAATATTTATTATAAAAATAATTTTATGTAAAAATTATTTTTAAGAATATTTAATGATAAATAAAAAATCAAATATTAGTAAAAATAAAGAAAAAAATAATTAAATAATTAATAATAATTGATAAGGAATAATTAAAAATTAATATGATATATTTTAAATAAAAAGAAGGTAGAGAAAAAAATTGTTAAAATATAGCGAGAGAAAAGTAAGTAACACGAAAGCAAAACAACTCATGAGAAGGAAAATGCTTTCCTTTTTTGAAACCGAGAAAACATGTTTTCAAAAATACTTTATCATTTTCCGTTAACGTTTTCCCGAATACAAAACAAACACCGAAAAATAGAAAAAACAAGCTCTTGAAATTTATTTTTCTCCAAACAAACACGACCTAAAGGGACAAAACAGGTCAACCTTGATGCAACCCCAATAATAATGTGTATTTTCTAGGGGTGAGCATCATTCGGTTAAAATCAAAAAACCGAATCAAATCGAACCGAATTAGCAAGTTTAGTTCGGTTCGGTTTTTTTTTTCAAATTCGGTTTCCACCGAAAACCAAATTAGTTTTTTTTTTTTAAACCCATGCCCAAGCTTTTTTTTTTTTTTTTAAATCAAAGAGGCGCCTATGGGTTTAACTAAAAGAACAATAGCTTTAATGATTTTTTTTCTAATAATAGAAATATTTTCCATTAATTATTTATTGAAATAATAAAATAATTGATTATATTATATTGACTCACAAAAAAATAAAAAAAAGACTATGATAAAATAATTTTTTATAAATACACAAATTTCTATGTGGGTGAATCCTAAAACCTCGTGAAAAAAAAATGTCTCCTTGTATTAAAATTGGCACAAACATAAATTAAAAATTGAATTTTTCATATTATATATTCAACAATAAAATATGCACAAAATAAATAAATTAATAAAAGAATATGAAAAATTAATAAAAAACCAATTATAGCGTTATTAAAAAAATAATGAGAAGCCTAACTAATTTAGTTTATAATATAAATAGAAACAAATTTAATATAGAAAAATAATAATAAGCATACACAATTTTCTTATAAAATCAAATGTGAAATATGCAATCTTTGATTATGCAAGTTTGATATTTTTTAAAAGTAAAATACTCCGATTTTTAGAAGGAAAAAAAAAATTTTTATCGAAAACCGAAAAATTTGGTTTTTTAACCGAAAAACCAAACCTCAATTCAGTTCGATTTCTATTTTTATTTTAACCAATTCGGTTAATCGAAAATCGAAAAAAAAACACAAAAATCAAATTGAAAAACCAAATGATAACCCCTAATATTTTCACATTACCAAACTCTCAGTCTATAATGTGTCACGTAGACAACGAGAAATGTGTTAATCGACAACATGACTTGAGCACAAATACTTCCCAAATAGACAATGGGACTCGTGCATTAACACAGCAGCCATTCCCACGTCACCAAGCATCCAATTCCAAAGCAAAATGCTTGTAATCGCCATTGTCCTGCTCAACCTTGTCGAAGTAAATTCTCGCTGTTGTTGAGAAAAACTCTTGCTCAAAATTTTTAAGAATCGTATCCAAAAACGGTTTGGCCAGTTCATAAGCAGTATCACTACTTGTTTGTTTCCAAAATTACTTGCTCACTTTGTTCGGAACCTTTACGATCAATAAAATGCAGAAAAAAATGACGGATTTTTTAAACATTGACAAATGTCCTTTCGGTCTCAACTATGGTTTATTGGTTCATTTGCGTCCAGCGTCATATTCGTGATTAAACATAAATTTTATACAGTACCAAGTTCAAATTACAGCAAACGGTTGCAATTTGAGTTCAACATACGATGATAACAATATGTTCTTATGACTAAGAAATTAAATGACCAAATTCATCCTTTCATTGGCGAGGCTGCAAGTCTAGTATACATTCTTGCCATGGATTGATAACCTCTAATATCACCAGAACGTAGAAGATTGCCTGCATAAGTGTAATGGTCCATTAGGAAGATACACAATCAGTATGAACAAGTGTAAAATTTGCAAAACTTCGATATCGATTTGTCAAAGCTCAAAAAAAGAAAAAAAAAAAAAAGAACCACTATTTGATGCGTAATCCCATAGTTCATCATGTCATAGTAGTTGTTTCGGTGTTTCAGAATTATGCCCGACAGCCACGATTCCTTTCCAGTATGCATGCGACTAGGCTTTATATGTAAGAAGAAAATACTTTCTGGCATGGAAGACGTGCCATGAATGGTGAAATAAACAACCATTGCCCTTGATTAGTGGAACCCACAAGTGGGCCCGTAAAACCAATGATGGTGATTAATTCATGGCATGAATTTTGTGATACGTGGCACCATTCAAAAAAAACAAAATAACCAGAAAGGAAAAAGGCCAATAACAAGCTAAGCCTAAATCACAATGCCATTTCCTCTCCAATCCTTGCATTACCGGCCATAACTCTTCCAAACCACCAAAGGAGGCAATAATACTAATGGGAATGGCAACCAGGACAACCATGGTGTTACAAAGAAAAGAGGTAGATACTAACAGAGAGATATCTCCAATCTTTAAGGACCTTCCATCCCTGAGGTAGATACTGAAAGAGATCTCACCAATCTCAGAAGAACCTTCATTAGAAATTACCTCAATATCATACTTTTCATCGTTAATATCCCAAAAGAAGCAGTAACTCATTAAAGTGCGTCTTTAACCCTCATGTTAAACCATTGTGTCAGCATAAAGTCATCATTATTGTTAAGTCAAAGTAAATATTTAATGTGGAAACAAAAAGTATATAGACTTAAGTACCTGAATCACAGTTTAGAGGACTGTCAGGTTCAGGGTGGGCCATCAAAGCAATTATTGCCCTACAAACAGACTGAAGTGTCCAAGCTGGGCTCCAAGCATTCTTCAAGATATCAAGGCATATTTCTCCTGTCTGCAAGAGAAATTAAACATAAGACATAGTTAGTACTCAGCCAACCATCTTGGTTATTACATTTCAAAAACTTTGAATAGCAATTTGTAATCGATGGTGCAGAAAAAAGAGATGCTGCAATTTAGACAGCTTTTGGACTCTCTAGTTTATATTTAAGATTCTTGAGAACCCATGCCTTGCCATGCAGCCCTTCCCTCTTGTTCCCTCCTCTAGAAGGGAAAATAAAAAAGTAGGTTTTCCATCTTGTTTTCAAACAAAATCTTAATATGCGATTTCTTTTGACAATCTCTTGAAACTTTAAAGGAAACAAATTAGAAAGCCTGGGTTCGGAGAAAAAAAAAGTACATATCAACAAAAGCTTTTACCAAACCCATTCATTTCCTTAGAAAACATATTTATAACCGGTTCCAAATAATGTACCAACATGGCACCAGCAACAGGGAAATTCTATTATCAGGTCCAAGGTTGTACACCAAAACTGATTTTTAAACTACCCAACCAAATATTTGAAGCTGTTAACATTCTGCTTCAGTCACTTCAAAAATTTCTAATGAGTTCACAAAAAAACAAATACCAACTTCAATTGCAACAATTAAACAAAGAAATTGCAGTAAAATTCATTAGATTGATTTAAGATACAAGATCCTCACTACCATCATCTGCCAAAACATTGATAAACAACAAAAGGGTAAAGCTACCATAACATAGCATACCAAACAATTCGTACCTTAAAATGCACATTTGGGTGAAATATTTTGGTCAAGAACCTCACTTGCGGAGGCTGCAAAGGATACTGTTCGGGAACAGAAAACACAAGCTGGAAAACTCCACCCTCAAAAGGAGTCTCCGATGGCCCCTGTACACAGAAATACAAAAACCAATCCATAAAACCACACAATTCTACGACTTTTCTTATCAGCAAAACTCACAACAGAAATTCAAAACAGCTTACCTTGATGAGAGCAGTCCATTTAAAAATGTTGGAATCATCACAAACTAATTGAATATCCGGATCGGCTACTTTCTCTCGCTGAACCTCTTTGTATTCCTTAAATAACCTCGCTCTTGATGCCTGCATTTCGCCATAACAATTGAATTCAGTCAATTCCGAACAGTACAAACACCCAATTGCGTCAAATAAAATATTGTATCAACAGAGGCTACTAACCTGCATGTTTATAAGCAGCTCTCGGTGACCTAAATTTCTTTCAAAACTAAATCAATTGAATTGCGATTCAATAACTGCATAATGACGGAGATAAATAATCAGTGCGAAAAATAAAAATAAATAAATTATTTCATAAAACAGAAAACAAAACTTTCTTGAGTTTGATTGTGATTTTCTTGGAATCCAAACAGGTTATTAGCTAACCGTACCGATTAGATCAATCCAAACGCAAAATAATGATACGATGATTGAAAGTAATTAGCATGATTTAAGGGCTAGCTTAGATTAGAATTAGAATCTCACCTGGTGGAAGTAATCGAGAAAAGGAGGAGGAGGAGACTTGACTTTTTTTATTCGATAATAAAAGAAAAGGCTTCGATTTTCTTATACAGCAGTTTTTATTGTGTATATATATCGCGGCTTGTTATTTTTATTATTATGATTATTATTATTATTTTACTCTTCGGGTGTCTATCTGCACCGCTGATGAGAACCTCAACGGATGGAAGCTGTCAATGACAATTAGCTATGTATGACGTGGTGCATACGTGGCGGAGAGAACAAGAATGAGGGTATACCGAGCAGGGAAACGATAGTCCATGGGATAAATCAAAATGGGAAAACTACGTCGATAAGAACATTTATTTTAATTTTTTTCAATTAAATATATTAATTTTTATTTTTTATGTTTAACAACGGCAATTTTTTCAAAAATACTAATCAAGTTTTTTCATTTAATTTTCTATTTAATGATGATATGATAGTTAATAGAAAAAACTAAATGATTATGTTATTTTTTTCCTCTTAAATTTTATTATTGTTTAATTAACGAAAAACTAAATGATTATGTTATTTTTTCCTTTTTCCTCCTAAATTTTTATTATTTTTTAATTATTAATTAAAAAAACAACTGCTTTGCCATTTTTTTAATTAAGCTGCTTTGATTTTTTTAAAAAACATTAATGTAATTTCTTCTATTCAAAATCCATTTTGTTAAATGATGATTTAAAAACAACAACGTGTTAAAAAAATGATAGACATTCTTCAATTTTTTCTCTTCTTTTTTGGTTGGGGATTGTTTGAATAGGGTGGAAAGTGAAGGAAAGGAAAGGAAAGAAAAGTTTCCTTCGTTTGTTTTGGGGAGGAAACCTGTGGAAAGAAAATAATAATAATAAACAAACTTATAATTGGTAGGACTCATTTTCCTCCCAAAATTAGGAGGAAACTGGAAGAAAAAGCATGTAAATCATCAAAATATTTTTGATTGACATTTTTGTCCTCATCTCGCCTCAGCCGTGCCCCTCCTTTTCTACTCTCTGTAGTAACAAAATAAATCCGCAAATCAAGGCTCTTTTATAATAGGATCTTGCGGTAATTCGATCCCACTATTTCGAGCGCCATTGAAGGTTGTTCCTCCCAATAATTGACTTCCTCTCAGCTTGTTTGGTTATTGACAATTCATCAAGGCCAAGCATCCGCCACAAACCCATAATCATCCACCATAACAACACCCCTTCATTAGCTAGTCTTAAACACGCTGCAAGACATTCAAAAGCATCATACCCCCCAACAACCTTAGGTCACGAGTCCCAATTTCCTTCGTAAAATCAACAATGAGAACAACAAAAGGTGGAGTATCCTTATCCTCATTCAAAATCAATCAAACCTACAAATTTGACGAACAACAAAGTTCAAAAATTATCCTTTACTCCTTTGGTTTTGCTCGGGAAATTCAAATAGTCTAACACAAGTTCTTATTAATTCCTCTCGTTTCGTGGAAGCTCCACTCGGGTAACTCATCTCCCTCGAATTCTTTCATTTTCAATTTTCACTAGATGGTTGCTTTAATCTAGAAAGAGAGAGATGATAGTGACGGTTTTAGATTTGGGCCGAGCTATTTGGTTCTTGCTAAATAAATCTCTTTCGACATATTAAGAAGCTAGATTTGACATATAGGAAGAATGAAAGATCGAGAAATAATAGGAACGGGAAGAGAGAGAGGACCGGAACCGGGTTTCGATCTAATGAGGGGAGAGACATTTACACCTCCTCAAAAATTCGATAGCAATAGCAACTTGATTGATACGAGCATCCAAAGATAGATTAAAGGAAGTTCTTTTAAGTTTGCTTACATTCACTTTGCGACTCCAAGGTAAGTGCTAATATAATGTGGCATTATAGTTTTGTCATGTTGGATTTTCACCTATTTGGTCCTTTATTCTATGTATAATGTTGCGTTTGGAAGTCGGACTTTAATTGCATTTCATTCCTATTATTAGCCTCCAATCATAGTGCTAATATATGTTTAAAACTTTCAATTTCTCGGTGTTCTATACTATCTATTGTGAGAGGTCCTAATCAACACTTTTTTTTTTTTTTACTTTAAAAGAAACACTATAATAGGTTAGGTGGTACATGAAAAGGGATAGAGTTAGGGATAAGCGAAATGACGAGGAATCGGGAGAAATCTAAGGATAAGAGTGATCCGAAGCTGTTATAATTCCAACAACAATTCTTTTGGACGGGGAAGAGACAATCTAAACGAGTAATTTTAATCCACGGAATTGCAATGCTTATTTCAATTCAAAACGTCTTTTAACTTCAAGAAAATATATATCCGGTCGGCATGTTTTTTGACCTAACTTCTATGTTTTTGATATGTGGTTTCGGAGATGAAGATGAACAAGATGATTTTAAAGAAAGGATTGCATTGAATTTAGCTGAACAGGAGGAGGAAGATCTCAATAGAATAAAGGAGGAGAGTAAAAGGCGAAGGGAAGTCATTCTTGAAAAATATAGAAATCAACGATTCTGACAACGAGAATAATTTTGGTTGTACATGCTTGCTTGATGGGTCTCACTTAGATATGGTAACTTGCTTGTTGAAATTTCATACTTGTTATCAAGAAGCATGATTCAAAATTGTCATTTTATTTGATGTGCATGTTCCAGCATTACATGCAATTTTTACAACTTAAACGACTATAGTATTTGATATGGGATACTCCTAAATTCATCAATTAAATTATGATTCTTATCAATTTTTTTGATAATTGATGAAAAATATATTGATAATTTTATATTAAAAAAATTATATAAATAACAATTTAATTAATAAACTTAGCGATACTTTTTGACATCCCACCCAAATTACTAAAAATGATAATCATCAACTAAACTCGTTTATATTAATATATATTGACAATGTTTCACATGTGCACCTTTATTTATTTTTTGTTTCATCAAAAATGGGGAAAAAAATTATAATTTTATCATCAACATGTAATTGATGTTTTTTCAAAGAGAGAAGATGAAATGTAATTATTGTAAAATGGAAGCTTGGACTATCCCCTTTCGATTCTTGCTAGATGTTAGCCCTATGCAAATGAGTATCAAAACACTAGCTAGCTCTAATCTCAAGCCCTAATTTTATTATCACCCATCTCCAACACTAGCTCGCTACCTGCTATGTCATTAAGTATCTTTTACGTCAAATAACACCTTCAAATACTATTATTGCATTTGCATTAAAAGTATTTAATATTTTTTTCGATTCTTGCTTTATGCTCTTTGTTTTTTCTTTTTCTATGTAGTATTTGTCGGCCAAGTTATATATATATATTTGTTTGATGGTTCACGGTTTGAGTTGTTATTTTAGGCTGCAATCAATTTGTCTGTTTATTTTTGTAAATGTCAATTTGATTTATAATATAGATTACTTTGGATCGGTCTTCTAAAATTCATTTGAATTGTTGATTCACTTGGTTATATGAACATTCAATGCTAGATAGGAGAATAACGAGTAGAAGGTTGTCGACTGGTTTTGATTTATGATAAGACATATCTTCTACATTCAAGAGAGGTAAGTTTTTAATATCCTTGGCTATTAAAAAACTATATTTGTATTTGGAATCTATCTACATATATCATTTGATCTCGTGTTTCTATATTATGTAATGCTACATATATGCACTTTTTACTTTCAAGCGAGTTTATGTTTTTATGACATTAGTTTAGATATTAATATTACAATATTTTGCATTTAACATAAATGAAAATGAATGTCATTGAGAATATGCATGATGAAGAACAAAGATGTAATACACTAAATGAGAACTTGTTGCAATCAAATAGTGGTGTTCCTTCGATCTTGAGAAACTTGCAAAACATTCGTAAAAAAATTAAAGAATGTCAAGAACGACATCGACGGATCGTGGAGAATTGGGAAAGAAGATGCCGAATGACAGTTCTACAACTAATTTGTTATGTTGTGTATGCATTACACCTAATTAATGCTCAAGCATTTGTAGTTCGTAAACCTATACTCAACCAAAGTGCTGCAAGAGATCATCTACACTAAGAATTAACAAATAGATTAACTTCAAGTGAGATGTCCTTTCGAGATATTGTACGAATGAGTTGTCAAGCTTTCTTTCACTTACTATACAATAAAAGACAGCGTTCCTTGAATCTCAATTCTAAATTCATGTTGCACGCTTCCCCAAATTCGAAACTAAGAATTCCCAGGTCGAAATTCTAAGTCTCAGGATTAGATGTCACGCATGCTGTAAAACATCGCTGTAAATAATATCAAACCCTACAAATGAAACGCAGTACCTCTATGAAAGAGACTTGTAATTTCAGTGATTAATATTTGATATTTATTTTTGTTTGTGTGGTAACTTTTTCTTTTTTTTTCCTATTTGACTTGTATGACGTTACCTGACAGTACTAAGTAGTGGTATGGTGGATTCAACTGACACAATAGCTGTTTTGTACTGGCATAAAACGAAAAAAAGTTTCCATTGTGACTGGTGACACGAGATTTTTTTAACAAGATGCAGCCAAAAATAGATCTTACTTGAAATTATTGAGAACAAAAAATATATACAAATTAATTTTGTATTCACTACACATGCCTTAAACTATTATTGAACCCCAAATATAGAATAATATATAGAAAAGTTGGTGGATTATATGTTAACGCATAAAGAATGCTGCAAAACTTGGGATGAACACTCTTTTTTGAACAAGATTTCTGCATTAGTACAAAACAGTCACGTATTAATTTTGAGCGAACTTTTGCACTTAGTACACACATCTTAAAAGATTATTTAAAATCAAATACAGAATAATAGATTGAAAGATTGATGAATTATATTTTAAGAGAAGTTTAAAAATGCTGCAAAACTTGAGATGAAAGCAAGGCACAAATGATTCTCTCAAAAACTTTGAGCGAAATTTTTATGTTAGCATAAAATAATCACGTATTAATATATATCAACTACGTCAATCTTAATCGGGGGAAAAAAAACCAAAAATCAAAAGTTAATCACTTAAATAGATTTTTTAAAAAAAAAATTATTACACTCTCAAATAGAACAAAAACGAAAATTATAGTAAAGTTGCACTTTTCTCTAATTTCAAGTATAACCGTATTTTTTTCAGGTGCCAATACAAAACAATCACCTGTCAATTAATACCAGTTACACTATTTAAAAAATGAAAAACAAAAGTTGATAACTCAAAATAGATAAAATCAAAAGTTAAACACAAACAAAATAAAAACTTAGATACTGAAATAGCAGTTTTCTCCTCTTTGAAATAAAGCCAAAACCATAAAATAAAAATAAAAATTCCATTGCAATCGAAGTTCATGGCAGGATTTCAGCAGCTCTTTTATTTTACGTAGTTCTCACTGCATGCATCTTTGCATCTCTGTTATACAACCTTTGTGATCTTAGTAAATCAGGCTGTTAGATATTAAACCTCGTCCCAAAACAAAGCAGGGCTGTGAACCGCTGCACTTTACATAAAATTCCCATTCATACCAGGACACTCACGAGCCATATTATCGGTACCCTGTCATAGTTTCTTAACAAGTCCAATAATATCACCATTCATAATTGTTGAGAGTAAATAGATTTGTTACACAGATCAGGTGAGTGAGAAAAGTTATCAGAGAGCTGAAAGAATCATCAAATAAAGGGCAGAGGAACTATAGAAAGGACATTCCTGATTCCATCCTCTGGAAAATCAAGAGCAGTCCCTTTGGAGACTGAAAATTCAGAATCAACCATGTCACTGGAAGCCAAATGGCAAGAAATATTCAATCAACCTAATCAGTTTACATTGTCAATCAATCAAGTACTGAAATAAAAAAAATAAAAAAATAAAAAAAAAACTGGGTAGAAAAATAGAGATATCTTCTAAAAAGATGTCCAAGTTGCAAGTGTTGAAAAAACCCAAAATCATAAATTCAACCTAATTGAGAGCATTGGTTTTTTTTTTTTTTCCCCTTTTCTTTTCTTTTCCTCTAAAAAGAATGTACATGATTTCCAAACAAACATGAATATGGGACCCAAAAAAGACCAAAAGAAAAATATATATATATATTGAAACTTAAAAAAAAATGGAAAATAAAAGGCAAGTTAGTGAAGAAAAAAATTTAAAATAAAAATGCAACCAATCATGTTTCACATGCTACCAGCTCTCCCAGGAGTGGATTTTCCTGGCTTGAACTTTGAAATATCTACTAGGTCTCCAAATAGCTTATCCTCTGGCTTGGAAGGCTTACCAGAAGGCACATAAGAAGAAGTTGGAACCTGGTAAGATGAGTTTCTCAAGCCACTGTCATCTCTAACAGATAGTCCACGCATTCTCTGCTCAAGGTACTGCGTCCCTTGTTGTGGACCATACCCATATCCAGCCATTTGGTTGCCATACACTTGTTGAGGATACATAGAAGCCATCGGCCCAGCTTGCATTGGTTGTGGAAACATACCCATATACTGTCCTCCCTGCATTGCTTGGGGATTCATGCCCCAATACTGATTGTTTGGTGCAGTCTGCATGTACATACCCACCTGATCATTACCCACTGATTGAGGCCCTTGAGGGTGCATACCACTAGGCAATGGTTGTGCATGTGTGGCAACCATCTGAGTAACTTGCACTGATTGAGGGTATTGAGCGCCTGCCACTGGGCCTGTGTCTGCTTGCTGAGCTTCCCAAGGAGGTGGAGGCAGTGATCCACTACTTTGAGCACCTTTCAACATCCCAAGGTGAAAGCTTCATGAATTTCAATGCAATAGTAGTAAAGAGAAACCTTAATTCACTAAAATATGCAAAACTAAGAGAGTCTCAAAAGCCAACGATAAGAATTTTTATTTCAAAGGAACAAAGTTTTGATTTGAAAATAGAAGCACACCATAAACTGGTGAGGCTGGCTGCTGTTGCTGCTGGGGAAGCTGTCCATTCCAGGCAGGACTGGTGGTTTGCATGTATACTGACTGCTCATATCGTGGAGATCCCATATTAGGGGCACTACCATTCATGTAAACACCAGCTTCTGGTGTTTGAAAATTCTGTTGCTGTTGGAATTGTGGAGTCAAGGAATTGGTTTGTCCAGCCAGATTGGTAGGCTGTGTATTGGCCGTATTTGGAGCATTGTTACCATCAGAAAACATGTCAAACAGAACAAGTGCATTCTGCTGTGACAGAGGAGTGGTCGTCTGGGGTTCTCCTACAGAAACTAGAGCAAGAGAAGTATCAGCCTTTGGTGAGTTATAATCATCACCACTCAACAGGTCCCATTTGGGATTGGCTCCCGCTGGAGTAGTTGGACCATTACTTGCAGGAGGTGCAGGGAGTAACAACTGGTTTAGTGTTTGAGAATTTGAAGTTGATCTGCAGCAAAATTCACTCGCAGTCAAATAACATAGATCTCAGACAAGAATTTTAAGAGTTTAAAATTCCGGCTTCAACTTCCATCTATAAATAGTTTGACAAAAGTTAAACAATTTTCATTCACCATTTTGACTCGACCAGTTCAGAATTTCATGCCAATTCTTCTCTTGGGGTACTGACTGGAACCTTATTTGAGTAGAAAACTAGATATGTTTCACGAAACTGATCTGAAGGGTAACAAATGGTTATAAAATGTGTGACTGCATAAGCGATTCTTCGAGCCATAAATTCAATATCCTCAAAATTATTGATTAATTTGGCAGACAAGTAGCTCAACACATATCACCATATTCATAACCTGTCCCAAGAAAGCTTAACTTCACAACCACAAACGCATAATCCTAAAAGCCTAATATAAAGGACAATGTATTTCCAACAAAAAGAAATTACAAAAACAAAAATATGGCAATAAGATGACAAGACACGACCAACTACAACCACCATGATTGAGTGAGAGCTTAGGCCATCAATTCATTTATAAATCATAATGCTTATCTGGTCAATTTCTATAGAAATGGAACAGCTTGAATAAATCTGCTTACCCCCCATCAGGCTTTTTGTCCTTGTTATCTCCTGTATCAACTAGAGGAGCATTGGTGTCTACAAGTGCTCCACTGGATTCAGCTTTTGGTTTATCTGCCAGACCTGGAGTAGAAGTTCCTGAAGAAATGGATTCGTGCCTGGCTAGTACTCGCTGCAAGTCATCATTCAATGATAATCCTTGACACAGTAGGGATTCGTCCCTGAAAAAGAAAGTTCAGATTACCAAACAAAATATGTCAACAGTAGTTCCAACATGCATTTAATAGAGGCAGTGGGTTCATACACCCAACATTCGGGACCAACTCATCTCATTCTATTTGTTATGCAAAAGAGTAATCTAGCAAACTAGTCAGTCACTGCAGTGCGGATTTGACAATAACAGGCAAAACCAGCAACAATACTGTCAAGCTACACAACAAATCTAGAACATGACGTGCATATTGCCATACTCTTAAGAGATATAATTCAGCTAGAAAACACCCTTCACTGTCTTTATAGTTCAGCACCTTATACTTTTTAATACAGTAAGACCTATGCAAGCCCGCACAGCATCAGTTCAGCCATTACCTCAAAACAAGAAGGTCACATCATGCCATTAATTATAGATGTTATTATGTCCTCCTTAGATTTGGAAAATAGATTTCTTACTGTAGCATGTCAGAAGCCTGTCAAACACTAATAGCAGCCACACCCTAATGCCCTCCTCACCCTGATAAAGTAAACGAAGATTTGTCGGCAGTTGATTTATAATTCCATTGATTAGGAATTTACACTATTGGAAATTATTATTTAGGATTTGTACTATTTAGGACTTAACTGTTACTGGGAAAATTTAGTATCTAATATTAAAAAGGATTTCACTATTTCCTTATCTTAATTACAACTTTTTAATGTTTAGGTGTGCCTCACACACATATTTGCTTAATAGGTGAACCATTTTGATGAATGAAAAGCTATCCTGTGAAAATTTGTCAGTCCTTGTGGATTTCAAAAGCGTAGTTTCTTGGGGATTCAAGAAGTAATCCTTGTAGATTTCAAGGGTTTCACCTAGTGGATTTTTGGTTTTCGATCTTCTTACTATCTTTCCCTCTTATTGTTCTATACCAACTTCATATATCAACACACACATAAATGATACCAATCACCATGAAAATCGAATATAGCAGATAGGAGGAACTGGCAAACATTATAGCAAACTAAAAAAGAAAACGGTTGAATGGAACTTACGAAGTAGAATTAACAAGATGTACCACTCTTTGCTTGTATGTACGACACTGTTCCACCAGGTCAACAATAACCTCCTGCCTAAGCCCCTGCAAAATGAGGTGAAAAATCACCAGTTTAAGAATTGAAAATAACCTTAAGAACCTTGATTCGCACAGAACTAATTTACATGTGAGTGTAAGAAGTTTTAAGCACTTAATAATATGCAATTTTTACATAGAACCAATATATGCAAAAAATAAAATTGAAAATTTGTTGGCTTTAAGCTAGCCGGATATATTAAATTAAATCACAAGTTTTTAACTACCACAAGGATTGGAAAATGTACCTCTTTGTTCTCTGGGTCTAGTGCATTTAGCATCTCTGCTAAAACATCCATGATACCCCGAGCATTTTGAATTTCTGTCAGGCTAGTAAAAGAAAGTTCAAATTAAAAAAAAAAAACACTTCTTAAATAACCCCTGAATACAACCACACAACAGGGGGTGCAATAAAAATAATGCAACCCCTATAATAAAAGTTTTGAGTTCATCATTCAAACACATGCGAAGTGAAGGAAGTGACAGTTATGAACAACTTATGATGTCTTGACAAATTCCATTTAAAAGACAAAAAAAAGTCATTGGCGTACCTCAAGGTTGGAAACTCTGACTCTGCAGAAGATTCAGCTGCTCCTGGTGGATACTCAATATTGCGCAGATTTTGAGGATAAGATGACAGAGGCTGTGTTTGTGGAGGTGTGAATACAGGGGCGGACCTCTCAGACCTTGGAGGGAATACTGCCCCAGCACGCTGAAATATACAAATTCACTTAGAGATCCATACCAAAAAGGCCACATTATGATAATCAGGAGCGCTTGTACAGCAGAGTATTAGCATGAAATGCAAAAGCCATGCTTGTTTGATGATTCATAAATGAGCAACAAATTATTCAGCTATGCTAACTAGGATCAATGTGGCTGAAGGAACACTTCAAAGGAAACGCACCAATAACTCTTGGTATGCAGCATAATATTGCGGATATCTTGCCCTTGGACCACCAAAAGCTTCTTGCCAAGTATCTACCAGAATCAATATCTTCTCTTTGACATGAAAGTCCGGCTACAATTAAGCATAACAAAAAATATGAGCGATTTTTTACAAAAAAGATATAACTACAAGATAGGTTAGCACCGAATTGTACAGAAACAGTCTCACCTTTTTCTTAGCTATTTTGACCATCTCATGAAGAAGATCTCTCTCTGCCACATGCATATGTACAATGTCCCCACAGTTCTTTATGATCGTCTCTAACAGCTAGAAGCGCCCAGACCAAAATTGAAACAAACTTAGTCCTCTGGAAAGAGTGGTTAAAAAATGACCAGAAAAGTGACAAAGTTACACTGGGAAAACTGGTGCGGACAATTATTACTAAATTAATAGCAGCCAAATAAATTTACTGGCTTCTATACTTAATCATACCATCACTCTCTAAAAAGAGAATTGTAGCATACCAGCTAGTTTGACTGCATTTTCCAATATCATACCAAGTCTAAAAAACAAAAATGGATCTCAGACCAGGCCCAAATTCATCTAATACAATCATATCTCACCTTTCTACCTCAATCAAACACACCATAATACTCTAATTAAGAAACTGACTGATTTGTACATTTGATTGCCAAGTATTTCCACTGCACCTATTGCTCATGTCTAAAACACACAATTCTCTCATGAAAAACCTAACATTAATTCAATTTCCCTTTTAGAAACAAAGGTAAATAGAACCCTAATGTAACTAGCAAGCTGAAAACTGTATTGCACTTATCACATAAACCGAGTGAAGTGCAACAGATACATTCATCCACTTAAAAGAGAAACCAAGCATTGTGAAGCTTACTGTTAGGGCAAGTAGTTGAACTTTCGAATTCCTACTACCGAGTTTCTTCTTTATTCCTTTGACAACATCCTTCGCTTGCCTGATAATCCAAATCAAAGAAAAAACTTCAAAACTTAAGCAATCTTAACAAGTTCTTAGTATTTAGAATAGCCAAATCCTAGTTAAAGCCATACAACCTAAATTTAGATGGACAAGAAGCAACCTTTATGATTTATTCAAAATGCAAATAAAACGAAAAAATTAACAAGCCACAAAAATATCACATGATTAAAAATATTCAAATTTCCTCCTCAGCTAATTAGAATCAACTGTTCGATCAAATTATTAAAAAATAAATTTATCCAAAACAGTTACATATTAAAAACAAATCAGTTTAGATTACAAAGTAATGAATTACAAAATTTTAAAAATAGCTTGAACAAGAAATCAAGAGACAAGAATCAAGTGCGGTGCATACGTAGGGTCGCGATTGCACATGTCACAGATCTCGATATTCATCGCCCAATCAGGCCCGATCAGCATGTCGCTCGTGGCTCTTTCCACCATAGAATTCACCATCTCTGCTTTATGTTTCTTCTCAAAATTAAATCAATCAATTAATCAAATCCAAAATTCTTTCCACCGGAAACCACTTTCTCGGCCAGATCGCACTCAATTCCGGCGCCTAAACTCCGCTTAGTAACCTAACGCACTCTCTCTCTCTCCGTTAGGTATTCTTCCCCTTTCTCTCTATCCTTTAACGAAAGGTTTTTCTCTCTCTCCCCTCTCTCAAAAGGTTCTCTCTCTATCAGAAAAACAAATCAAATAGTTGCTTTTTTTCTTTTTGTTAGATTTTCGTTTTCCATTTTCCTTTTTAAGAAGCGAATTGGTTATTTTTGCTTTGTATTTCCAGTTTTTCAGTTGAATTATTTGGGGAGGTGGGTTTTTGAAAATAGTTGACCATTAAGATGATGACACGCGTGGGATAGTGGTGCCATCGTTTATTGGAGGGTAAACTACATTATGACCCTAATAGATTTTATAATATTTCACCTTCGGGCTATATTTCTAAATTTCATATAATTAGTCACATAGTTTTAAAAAGAAATTTAATGTGACTCCTATCCATTACATATAATGTTATTTTCATCGTTTTTGTGCATTTTCCTTGCACGTTTTCTCTTAATATCTCATACATGTGGTAATTTTGCACAAAATCTTTAAATTAGAAAAAAAAAACAAAAAATAAACTTGATATTAACTAGGATTGAAAAGAATTCAAAGAAGACATAATTCAATCAAGCCTATTCTTCAAAAAATAGATTGGTTGAATTGGATATTTGCATTTATATTTTTTATCCGTGTTGTGTTATACTGAATTTAGATTATTAGACATCAATTAAATAAGATTTTCCGTTTTATAACTTAATTGGATCTTTTAATAAAAATAACACATATGATAAAATATAATGACTTAATACTTAAACATTATATATAAATAAGAAAAAAATGTTATTTAATTAGAGTTAAGGAAAGCTGGAGAATATGACAATACCCATCAACAATGGAGAAAAACATGTCATTGTATTAATTAATTCTTGTCTAGTAAAGTGTAATTTAAAATTGATTTTTTTTTCAGTCCTGGTATGAATCTTTTTGGTCGGACCAAATTGCATCTTCACAACTATATTCGAAGGTTAAATTTAAGCTTTATATAAATTAAATGGTTAACATAAGAATTATCATATAACAGAGACTGAGATGGAATATTCTTAATATATAAGGGATAAAGCGTACTTTACCTTTTAGTTGTACTGTTGATCGGCCGACCATTTGCAATCTAACGGTTCTTATCGTTTCTGCGGTGATCTCCATGGGCCCTTGTTAAAGGCGGAGAATTTTATATAATCACGGAGGAATTAATAATAAACCTATTTTACATCCAGAGTTAGAAAGATAGATTATGAAGAGAAGAGTATAATTAAAAAAAAAAAAAGCGGAATTATAACCCGGATAACTCAAAATATATATATACATACATACATATATATATATATATTTTAATCAAAATATTTGTATTATTAAAGGGTTCGAATGTTTTTTATTTTTTTATATCCGTTTTTCTCCATAAAATGTATTCATAAAGTAAATATAAAATTTCTAATCTCCGGTAATGCAGCATTTAATTTACGCACGTGCTAGCTGCTGTGCGTTGATCTGAGTTACCGTTTGCTAAATGATAGCTTTGACCCGTCCGGAGTTCAGACTGAAAATGATTAAAGATGGCATTTAAAGAAAAAGTTTATTTTATGATAATGTTTAAATGTTTTTTATTAACCACGTTTATTGGACGAATGCATTTTCAAAAGATTGAGAGTTACGGTAACTCTACAGAAATTAGTGCCAAATTTTGGAATAATCTTGAAGCCAAATCCATGATTTCAATAGTTACATACAAGCGGATCCCGTTTTTATCTTTTAAGGAAATTCATTTCATCTTTCATGGACTAAAGTTTTCTTTATGAATCCTGCCATGTAATTTAACCCATTTAAATAGTGATGGGTTTTTTTTTATGATAAGGATATTAAAAAGAAAATTCGCAATTCGAACAAAACTAAGTTGTTTTTCAAATAACTCTAAGAGCATATCCTTCATCAAGCCAACCTTATGTGATAACAAGAAACGAACAGCGAAAATTTTATTTTTGTGGGAGAATGTAGGAATAAAAAAAAAATAAGATTTTTATTTTCAAAAAAATAATATATTATTTTTTATTTATTATTTTTATTATCATAACTATTTTCACTATAGTAGCTGTCACTGTTGTCATTGGTGGTGAACTGATAATGATTAAATTACTATTATTATTGCTAATCTATCTACACTTTTGTTATTTTTATTCTATATTTTTTTCTATTTTCATCTTTCATGATGATAATCTTATTTTTTAAAATATATTACTATTATTATCATCATCACTTATTTTTTTTAATACTATTATTACCATAATTATCTTTATTATCGTTACAATTGATAAAATTATTTTTAAATTATTATTTTTTCTTAAAAACTAAATATTAAAAATTTTAAATTTCATTCAAATTGCTTATTATTATTTCATATATATAAAATATAAGAATTAAAATATTATTTTGATTCTTATATTTCTATTCCACGTCTATCATTTTTTACAAGGAAACACATCTTATTAGGATTATAGCAATGGAATAATAGTGATGTAAAAAGTAAAATCATGACCAGGTTTACAGTTTTTATTATTATTAACACGGAGGAGGCTTAAAATTGGAAGGAATGGAAGGGAAATGTGAAAAAACTGGCTACGTAGAGAAATAGGATAAGATTTTAAAAGTTCAAATAAGGAATGAATGATTTGATTTGATTTCTTCGCATCATCTTTACGTATATTACGCAAAAGCCAAGCCTAGTCACCGGTGCGTTCAATTTTGGATTTTTTTATATTAAAAAATAGTAATTTCATTATTAATTTTTAAAAAGGGATAATTATGAGAAATTTTTTTAAAAATATATTTTATCTTAAAAATTCATAAATTCATTTTTAAATTTCTCAAATCAAAAATGATATTTTTCTTTCTAAAACACTCAATAGCTAACCCTTTGCTCAATATCGGTTAACTATTGAGTATTTTGATATAAAAAATACTATTTTGAATTTGAGAAATTCAAAAAATAAATTAATGAGTTTTTTAAATAGAATTTTTTAAAGGTTTTTTTAGTAATTATTTCTAACTCAATGAAACTATTATTTTGTAAGATATGTATTTTTATTTTGAATGCCCATGTTTTATTTAATTAATGCATCTAGATACGTTATATTCATCGCGTAATTGAATTTAATTGCTTGATAAAAAGTCATAAGTTTCAATTAATTAAAAACTAATACTGTTGTTGTTGCTTTTTTCAATATATTAGGATTTAAGATATCGTTAATTTTCATAATCATACATATTCTTAGTTTTTTTATCTATATGATACCTTTTAAATTAAATTACAAAAGGATAACGAAGTTTCATTTCATTAATATTGATTAGTTGAATTGCATCGGCTTCTATAGCTATTAGGTAGTGAAATTAATTCTTTAGTGGAAAGAAATAAAAACTCTTACGAATTTTTTTTTATTGCAATAAGAAAATAATAGATGAATGCTAGTGTATCAGCAATCAAATAACCTCTTAAAACTTATTTTTTTTTCTTTTGATTGTAATCCCTGAACTTGATTATAATAAAAAGAAAAAAAAGGCATTTATCAAACTCATCAAAACCTATGAAATGATGTTATTATTAGATAATTACTAGAAACTCTATGAATAAAATATTCTATTTAAAAAACATATCAATTTATTTTTGAATCTCTCAAGTCCAAAATAATATATATTTTTTTTACTAAACCATCAAATAATTAACTCGTGTTAAGTTAGAGGTTAAATATTGAGTGTTTTAGTAAGAAAAATAGTATTTTAGATTTGAGAGATTTAAAAATATACTAATAGGTTTTTAGATAGAATTTTTGTTTTAAGAAAAAAGGGTTTTCTTCTTAATTATCCCTTGAAAAAAAACACAACTAAATCACTATTTGCACTATGTTAACATAATATGGAATCATGGAAGTTACATATGGCTATTTGAAAGGATACTTAACAATACTAAAATATGATCAAACTTTTCCAAATTTAACGGATCATCAAATATACAAATTCCATCCTAATTCCCAATGCTTTTTTTCTTATCTGAATAGTTTAGTCTCCCCGCAACTGTTTTCCAGGACAGCTATATATGTTGTCGTGGTCTGTACTGTAGGTCAAATTAGTTTTAAGTCTTAATAAATTATGTCTTTAATCAAGTATTAAGTAAATCATTCATACTTAAATTTTGCATAAGAAATTATTTTTCAGCTTATTTTAGATTTTTAATTGTGAGATATTAACATGAAAAACAAATACATTTGTGAATTACTAATGGCGGTAAATGAACTGGTTTCAAAATAAATTTTTTATCAATATATATGGTTTGAATTCTACAATATTATTTATTGAGAGTGATTAAATTTTATCTTTCTCACCTTAAATAGAATTAGTCTTTATCTTTAACGTGGATGAAAAAAAATATATATATATACTATGAACTAAAAGGTGTTTTGAAATAAGGTCTCTTGCTTCCCAGTGGAAGGCTTTGCAATTTCAATGGATAAGAAAGTTCCCTGTCATGAAACCCAATAAAATAATAGCCTACCATGACACGGGCATCTTCTGAGTTCTGACGCGTGAAAGAATGACAAGAAAAACAAATAAGCATATCACTTTTTGCAAAGCAATGGCTTAGATAATAACTATACAGCAAATTTGAGGCCTGTGACTAGATGCTCCACTCATTTGCTTTTAGGCACAAGTGTCTGGTGTCTACCATTTGTTGATGCAACCTTTGTCTGTTTCTTTGATTCATTAGTACCACTTTTAAGGTTCCATAATCATGCATTATTGATTAGATGCCATTTTATGGAACATGTGAAGTGTTCCAACAATTTAGCTGATCTGTAGACATGCATATACAACAGAGCCCCAACAACTTGGTGATTAACCAGGACATTCCTTCGGCAAGAGATGGTAGGCTTAGAACCCAATTTCTCCTTATATATATATATATATATATATATATATTCATGAAAATGACTAGCCTCCCACTTGTAATTTAAAAAAATAATAATAATTTGACTACCTTGAATTTGTTAGGTAAAATAACCTACGAATTAAGTTTTTCAAGTGACCTAAATCCTTCTAATATCTGACAGTGACCATGTACATTCACCAAGGACATTTTGCAGGAAAGAAAATCTTTCAGAACTGCACCGTATTGTACCTTTTACTTTCTTTGATAACAGGGAACATAAAAAAAAAAAAAACAAAAACAAAAAAAAAAAAAAGGATATGCTTCTTTGAAATGCTATTGATTTGATACATTTGATGCTGACTGTAAATTGCATTTTTTGAATTTTTACATATTGGATCCACCAAGCTATACAGCAACATGAAATGCTTTCACTCTCCGGTGGTGGAGATGGTGAGTCTTGAATCAGCAATTTGAATCAGTTTATTTTGTCAAAGAAGACAGATTTAACTTATGTATGTCCAAGATCAAGCTACCCATCCTGTGCAAAGAAAGCAATAGTTGAACAGCAGCCTTTTGTGGTTGAAGTCCCACTTTGCAGCACCAGTGAAAGGAAAAATAATGGAGTTATGGGACAGGCACTCGGACTGCAGGGGGGCCTGCTTTCATGTCTTCCAGTATAAGAGCCAAGAGCGCCCGAGCTATGGGACCTTCTTCGCCTACAAACGAATGCACGCCACAAATTACTGATGGTCAGAAAATCAACAAGTCAACTGCATTAGTTTTCGAAGACCACGTAAAAGGGAAAACGAAAAGGTTCCCACCAAAATATAAATTGTAGGAAAATGACTTGCAGAAGGCACAGAATGAAATGCAGTGCAGTTAGATATTTCTGGTGGAAAAATTAAAGTGCAAGACGGTGCAAGGAGGGAGAAAATTCAGTACAACCATTGTACCAAACTTTTTCAGTCATGTGTGTCTGTGAATTTAGCATTTGTGGCTTCACAAGACCTACCACATGGAACCTGCAAAAGCTAAAAGCACCACAGCAGATTTATGGTGCAGATCAGCCATTCAAAAAGCAAACACAGCAACAAGAAAACATTCTTGCACGTACCCTCATCATGGCTAAAGAGCCACCCACAATGGATGGCATCTTATTGATTTAATTGAAAGTGCCCTTGCTTTCTACTATGAAATGAAGAGAAACAACTAAAAATTCGACCAATTCAAGAAGGTTTCTGAAAGCCATGATCGCTCAATATCAACTTAGCATCATGTTTCCATGTACGTTCAGTTTGGAGGAGCATAGTATAATTGCAGAGAAGTTCCTTACCATTGCCAATGACCTGATTGTCCCACTGAACCACAGGGCGAACAAGCACTCCACTGCCAATAAGCATCATCTCGTCTGCTTTCTTTCCTTCCTCTACGGTCACATTATCTACCTTTATTCCATGGAGTTTACCCTCCCATACCAGCCCCTCTGCTAGTGTCAAAACTCTCTTAGCTGTGCACCCACTCAAAATTTTGTCAAAGGCAGGCATCAGAAGGTCTTTTTCCTTAGTGACAAATGCCACATTCATGTTAGGCCCTTCAGCTATGAATCCATCATTATCCAGCCAAATAGATGCATATGCACCATTCTCCTCTGCTTCCATCTTTGAAAGCACATTTGGAAGGTAATTTACGCTCTTCATGGTGGCAAATTGTGGGGTTTTTATTGGGATTGATGAAGTTACTACCTTGATGCCTCTTGAATCATGTGGAGATTGATCTTGGATTACAATGGCATAAAGAGCTGGCTGATGGCAGTCAGACGGAGATAGTTGGAAATCACCAGGTCCTGCCGAGAGCCAGTATCTTAGTGATCCTGTCTTGCACTTTGAAGCACTCACTGTTTGTATGAGTATTCTCCTCATACTTTCCCTATCAAAAGGAAGATTAATTTTGGCCATGGATGCGGACCTTATTATACGGTCAAGGTGTTGGTCCAGTTCGTATAAGTGCCTGAGACATGGTAACAGACGAGGATCTTGATCAGCAATTAATACTCGATTTATAGCCTAAGAAAGAACTAAGAGAGGAATACGTGTTTGCACAGAAATGTCCATGATTCACGAGTATATCAGCAAATGTATTCCTTATTTCAGTTGCCAAAGCAGTTTAATTTTCTTCTCCTAAAAAACGATTATCCAATCACATGTGGAACATATTCAAAGAAACATATATAAAACAGAGCTAAAATTATATACTTGAAATTTGATGAGGTAAAATAATGCACCCAGCAATATCAGAAGAGCTGTTGAATTGCACAAAAATCAACATTTTAAAAGAATATTCAAGAACTTGGAAATTAAATTGTTCCCTGCTAGATTCCAAGAGCTTGCAGCCATTTAAAACGTGAATCAAGCATGAAGAATATGATGGAATCAAGCGTTGAATTAGAGGAGAAAAGAACTTCTTTATACTATAAGCGTAAGACATTGTCAAATTGAATATTAGAAGCTTTAACACAATGTTAGCCTGAACTATGCTAGTTAAGCTTTTAGACCGGTAGTTTAACAACAAACTGGGAATATGAAATACATTTGCAGGGCCTGGTAGTTCCATGGAAGCAAACAGCAATACATTTTCAATTATGAAAAACAAAAAGCTTCCAGTTACATCTATACTAACCCATCTACTATTGCAGCAGTATCAAAGACACCATGTCCTCTGTGGACCATGTGGTCATCCATAGGTATCACCATAGCTGCTGTATCCGTTGTTATTCCACCAAAAATGCTAGAGTACATGGCCAAGAATTGCTGCTTGCCTGCCTGATTTTCTCGGTTTTTCTTTAGCCTTTCAATAGCCTTCAAAAACAAACATAATAATGACCAAGAGCAAAAAAGTTATCCAGTAATTAAGAAATATTCACATTTGAACTTTCATCTTTAACCAAAAAAAAAAAAAAAAAAACCAGAAATGTCCATCACTAAAACCAAAATTAAGCCCAGATCTATATATATATGAAAAAAACATGCAACTTTATCTCACTGTTATAGCATTTGCTTTAAGGTCTATCAATTTTTCACAATTCTCTCTTTAACCCAAGTTAAAATTTACTCATTTAGCAGCAAAACACGGAAACCCATTTAAATTTTTTTAAAGAAAGGGAGAGAAGACAAACCTCGGAGCAGGTCAGAATTGCAACATCAAATATTTGAGTATTAGAATCTGCCACCACAAAGTAAGACATCACTCTTAAATTTCTCATTTTACGACTTATAGATAGACTGGTAACTGGAATCTAGCGAAGCCAGAATCACATGATATGTAATATATCTTACCAGCCAAAGCTTCAGCTTGACGAGAACATCCAGCAATCTTCAGTTTTCTAAACGACCCATGTTGTGAAATAAACCCAAGTCTTTGAAATGCAAGATTTTTCGGTATTAGACACGAATTATGCAAATGATCAGGCAGTTTTATGCTAACATTTAAGTGTTGAAAACTGGGCTGTAGCAGAGAAGTTGAAAGAGATGCCATGGGAGCAAAAACTAGTGAGAGCTTTTGATCAAACTGTGGCTTGATCGTAGGTTGTTACTAGTCACTGATGATTTCAACTGTTTTAGAGTGGATTGTTGCTGACTTCACTTGACTGGATGCCAAACAAAAAGTCAGAACAAGTGGTTTATTCCTAAATTTTGCCGGCGGAGATTTATATAAAAAGGATAAAGTGCAGTTACGCTCTCTTTCTATTGTATAAGTTCCGGTTTGATCCTTTTCCTAAGGATCTACCAATATTATCCTCAACCTATCAAAATTGTGCATAATCTTCCCTCTTATAATTTGATGTTAATTTTCCCGGTTTCAGGTTTTGATCTTTTGATGTTCTTTTATGGTAATTCATATTTCAAATCTCACAATTGATTTTAAATTGAATTATTCAAATTAAACAAAAAAGGAAGTATAGTAGGTAGTTAATTGTTGCCAATTTTATCATATACTAAATCACACCCATTCGTCAATAATTTAGATTAAATGAACATGATTTTGAAAATTTTTATATTCTTTAAAAAATAACTATCAATACTTACTCTATAAAAGAGATGGACATATAAAAAAGAGAGAGAGAGAAAATTAAAAAAAAATGAGTTAAGTGTAAATATTCTAATAATTTATAATAGGTCCGAATGTAATTTTTTTCTTTTTTGTGTATATCTTTTTTAAAAAAAATAAATCCATGAAATATACAATAAGTACTCCTTCAGTAATATAAAATTTCTTTAAATGAACATAACATGTCTCAATCTAAACTTTAGGTAGTTAAATATTGTCAATTTTTTCTACATTAAAATCATACCAATTCATAGATAAATTAGATTAAATGAACATGATAGAAATGAGCATAATATGTCTCAACGTGAATAATAAATAATTAAGTGTGGTTAATTTTATCAATCACCACAATCATACCAATTCATATTAATTCTCTTATATATATATGAGGTTTTGGACCATCCTTAAAATGAGATTGTAAATTCAATATATTGTGATTGTATGTAAAATTTATGATGATTTTATTTGTTGATTTTAACTTTTATTGTACTTTTCAAGGTATAAGCAGTTTGAATAAATGGGCCTGTGGCTCGTTGGTAGTATCCTTATAACTTATAAGTTAAATTCTCCGTACATCAGTCTTAAACTTGTTTACATTTTGTATAAAAATATATAGAAAGATCAAATTAACTCCTTATTTTTATTATGATAATCAAATCAATCCCATATCGTATCGTGTATTCAGACTGGTTCCTCTTTGTTGTGGCACTAACCATAAATGAGTTAGGCACAATTTTAGTTTACTAACTAGCTCAATATCCACGCATGGCGCATATAAGTCTATTATATCTATATTTTAATATTTTAAATAATTTAAAAATATAAACATAAAATAAAATTTAACTAACACTTATTGTCTATATATATATAATTGAATTTAAATATATCCGAGGAGTATTTTTTTATATAAATAAAAAATACATCCAATTTATTATTTATTTTAAAAAAATCAAATTAGAAGGAGGAGCTTAATCAATTTATATAGGAAGAATATTTAATTTTAGTTAATGAATATTTATAAAAATAGAAAAAGTAACCATTAATTATGGAAAAAAAATATTTTGATTAAATAATAATTAATGAAAAAAATAACCCGAGACCATAAAAAAAAATTACCGAGACCTTTCTATAGTATTAGTTTAAATTAAGAATTATTTTATATAAATTAATAACTTAGAGGATTAAATTTTAAAATATTAAAAAATTATCAAAAAATCTACTTTTTTTAAGGGGGGACGACGTTGTTTTGAGTCTAAAAGGCACAAAACGATGCTCGTTTTGGTTTCATTGTAGCGAGAGTTTAGCTACGGTGAAACTCCATCATCTTTTAGCATATGTTATTGTGAGTTTGGTAGAACAAAATCATTTTAGAATTTTAAAATAATTTGTTATTTAATTAATTTATTTAATTTTTTATAATTTTTTTGCTTAAAAAAATAAATCATTCTTCTTTGTAGATTGATTTTAACTAAAATATTAATCGAGAATTAAAAAAATTTTAAAATATATTTTTCATAATATTAAATTCTAAAAAATAAAGTTATAATTAATAGATATACTTTTATAAAAACTAACAAATGAAAAAAAATTCTTATTTAATGCTGATGAGAAAATTAATTTTTAAAATTATCCACGCAATTCTGCGAATAGATAAAACAAAATCATTTCAAAATTTTATAATTTTTTTCATTAATTTTGTATTTAATTATTATTTTTTATGTTTTTCATAAAATTTTTGCTTAAAAAATGATTTATTTTTAATATTTAGAGATTCTTAAGTAAAAACTTGTAATATATAATTTAAACATGAAATATTAATTAAGAATTCAAAAACAAATACTTACAAAATATATTTGTTATAAGAATATATATAAAAAATAAAGTTACAATTAGTTTATAGGCTTTCATAAAAATTAACTAATGAAAAAATAAAAATTTATTTTTATTTAATGCTGATGGGAAGGTTTTTTTTTTTTTTGGAGTATATACATTTGATCTATATATATTGTATAATTATCGGTTTGTATGGAATAAAGTAACGATTGATTTTTAAAAATTTTAACATCTAATTAAATAAATAAAGAACATGAATTGATGAAAAAAAAAAAGCAAAGAAAAAAACTATAGAAAAAAAAAAGGCATGCAATGCATCAGCTAGAGATTAAAATTTTTATTTTAAAATTTTAGCGATCAAAATGAAATAATTTGAAAATTACAAAAAAAAAAAAAAACACCTAAGGAAAGAAATAAGAGTGAAAATTAAAAAGAAAAAAAAAGAAAAGAAAAACTAAGAGCGAATAGTACATTGGGAGGGTAAAAACAAAAAGTAAAATAAAATTGTATTCTTATTTAACATTGACGAGAAGATTTTTTTTTTTTAAAAAAGTATATACATTTGATCTATATATATTATATAACTTTCAATTTGTATGGAAAAAAGTAATGATTAATTTTTAAAAATTTTAACACCCAATTAGATAAAAAAAAATTTGATGGAAAAAAGTAAAGAAAAAACCAAAGAAAAAAAGAAAAGAAAAGACATGTAGTGCATTAGTTAGAGATTATAATTTTTATTTTAAAATTTTAGGGATCAAAACAAAATAATATGAAAATTACAAGAAAAAAAGAAAAAAAACTAAGAGTACAAATTAGAGAAAAAAATCAAAATGAAATAATTATCAAATTACCAAAAAAACCTAAGAAAAAAAGCTAAGTGTGAAAAAAATAAACTAAGGATAAAAAATAAGAATGAATATTAAAAAAAAAATCAAAACAAATTAATTTGGAAATTGCAAGAAAAAAAAACTAAGAGTGGAAATTACAAAAAAAAACAAAACCTAAGAAAAAAACCAAGAGTGCAAAAAAAAAAAAAAAAAAACTAAGAGTGAAAATAAAAAAAAAATCAAAATTAAATAATTTGGAAATTGCAAAAAAAAAAAAAAAAAAGAGCTAAGAGTAGAAATTTCAAAAAAAAAAAATAGTGATTTGTTAGGGTGAATAGTGATTTGTTAGGGGTGAACAGTATTGTCATTGTTCAAAACCCTTCACCAGTTTTAGTTATATCCTAATTGTCAATTTTTTTTTTCAATTGAGTGTGTCTTTTTTAATTTTTGTTGTTTGAGTAATGCAAGTTGCAATTAATTTCTAATTAAGTATTTACAACTTGGATTATTCAAATAAAAAAAATTAAAGAGGACACACTTGATTGGAAAAAAATTGGTAACTTGGTAAACTAAAATTGTGATTAACTCAATCGTTAATAACATCTTAACTTGTTAAAAAATATATTTTTATTCTGAAAATACATGAAATGCTTTGGAAATATCTTTTCTTAGGCAATGTATATTTAAAACATTAATATTTAGTGAGTTTGGAAAGAAAATGATAAATGAAAATGATCTTTATAATTGAAATAATTTCAACATGATTGACATAGTTATTGGATGATATAAATTTCAACCATAATTATTGGATGATTAGCTACATAGGACTTATCCTCTGCAACCTAACTTACGAAAACTAAGATTAGAGAAAAGAAAAACTAAAATTGTTAATTGAGTGGCTTGCATATTAAAGTGATAAAAACATGTATCATAATTTTAAATAGTTGATCTGATGATTAAAAAGATTTATTTTATTAAATTTATTTGAATGAAACTCATTGATGTGAGATGTGCTTTTAAGATCGTTAAGAGAAAAACTTAGTCTCAATTAACGTATAATCTACCCTTATAACTGAATAAAAAAACTGGTAAATGCAATAAAAATAAACAAGTTTGTCGGCACCGAATTGTTATGACCGTCTATTAACATTTTCATTTTTTTTAATATATCAAGGATGTAATTTGAAATCTATTGAAAAAGGGTTTAATGCTTTAGTACGTCCCTCTATTCTTTTCTTTGTATTTAAAAAATTTCCCTATTCTTTTTTTTTCCCCTCTTATTATCAACCTTAAATCATCATTAATTCATCACATTCTTCCATCGATTGATGTTAGAAACTCCGTAAAAAATTTGACCCGTGTCAAGCTTTTACATAATGAAATTTTCATTGATATACATTTTAATTCCTAGATTTTTTCAATAATAATAATAATAATAATAATTTGGTCTTGTATTTTATTTTTCTTACAATTAAGTCTTTAATTAATATTTTTTTGGTATCTTATTTTACAATAAATATAATTTAGTCTCTAACTTATTTTTTAATTAATTTTCTACATGTCGAACCGTAAACTTAGTTAAGATTAGTCAAATAATTTAAATAGATTGAGGGACAAGGTAAGAATAAGTGGATTTAAATATATATGCCCCATTTTAAAAAAATATATATATAATATTATATATCTATTGTGAAAATTTTCTTTTATTTTCATTCTTTTTTAAAAAATTATTCCCTAGTTTTAACCTAAAAATTGAGATAAAACTTAAAAAATAAAACAAGAAAAAAATTCATAATTAATATATGATATCGGAGGAAAAAAATTATTTTTCTTATTTTAATCCAAAAAATCGAGATAAAAAAATAAAAGAAAAAGTCATACTAGATTTATGATATTATGAGAAACAAAAATAATATATCTATGATAATATGGGAAAACAAAATCAAAGTAAAAATATTTATTTCTCAAAAAAAATTAAAGGACTAAGTTGTATGTACTATAAAAATATATTGATAGAAAACTTTCAATGGAGAACTTATTTGGAGGCAAAAGAAATATAGTAACCAAAGTAAATAATTAAAACATTTTTAGGGATCAAAATGTACATAAGAATAATTTCAAGTTGTGGAAGCTTGACACATGTTAATTTTCAACAGTATTTATTTATAACAACAACTGAATAAAGGATGTAATAATAATTTAAATGTAATGTACATGGTTAATATTAAGATGAAAAGAAAATGACAAAGAAATACACACACATATATAGTAGAGACATATATAGTAGAGGATTGTACTTTAGCATTAACGAGAAATTTTATAATACTTAAAGAGTAATTACTGTACATGTCATTAGTTACTCCTTGAGTTTATTTCTTTTTCAATAGATTAACGTTAGAGAAATTTTATAATACTCAAGGAGTAATTAATGACATGTACGGTTATTACCCTATAGATTTATTTTGAGGAGAGAGATAGATATATAAAGAGAAGAGAGAATTACATTCGAATATATTAAAAGTGATAAAAAAATTTTTACGTTCACTCAATTTTTTTAAAAAATTTTCTCTTTCTTATTTCTATTTCCTTTTTATGTGTTTATTATTTTGAAAAGAGAGATAGATATATAAAAATAAGAGAGAATTATATTTAGACGTATCAAAAATAATAAAAAAATTTTTATATTTACTTAATTTTTTTAATTTTTTTATGTATCTATCATTTTCTTTAAAATAAATTTATAAAATAACTATTTTATATGTCTTTGGTTACTCGAGGGGTGTTATACAATTTCTCCAACATTAACCTATTGAAAAAGGAATAAGCCCAAGCATTAGGTATCAGTTTGGGCCCAACTGGATCGCGGTCGCCGGTCCCTCCTTTCCTCTTCTTCTTCCTTATCCTCTCCATATCATAGCATAGCCTCTTTCTTTCTATCCAAAGACGAACACTGTCTTTCTCTTCTAGGGTTAGACTTCTCTCACTCTCAAAATTTTCCCTAAAATTCTGTCTAATCCCCTAAAAAAAAAAAAATGACCACAACGACAACAGCAACTCAAATTCATCTTCTAAGAGCAGCTGGGTTCTCAAAGAATCCCACCAATCTTTCTCCAACAACAGTCTTCTTTGGCCAATCACTCGCCAAAACGACACACTCCTTCGCCTTTATTGCTACAAGAACTTCTTCAAGGTCTCCTGTTTCTACTAATGCAAAGGCCAATCCAACTGGAGAACAGAAATGGACCCATGAGGGCTCAGTCACCGAATCACTACCTAATGGTATGTTTCGCGTTCGCTTAGACAATGAGGATTTGATTATTGGTTATATTTCTGGTAAGATACGCAAGAATTTTGTACGAATTTTGCCAGGAGATAGAGTCAAGGTTGAAGTGAGTCGTTATGATTCGAGTAGAGGACGCATTGTTTATAGACTCCGCAATAGAGATCCAACTAGTGAATGATTGGTCTGTGTCCTTTTGTTTTATGCAAGTTGTAGAAAACACCTGAAACCATTTTGTGGTTCATGCTTGCGAATGAAATTATTATATGGTTAAAGAGGTGGCAACTTGCGAGGATGTGTTTTGTTTTTGTTTTGTTTTTCTTTTTTGGGACATCATAGAATGGTTGGAATTGTTGAGTGAATGGGGATTATCTAAATGTTTCTGCCTTCCATTTGATCAACGTAAATGAAGAGAAAGGATTAGCAATCCCCAGTATTTTACTTGTGTACTGTTATCATAAACATCATTTTTGTCTCTTTGTACAGCTCTTTAGGGTCAAAGGATTATTGTAATATTACCAGACTTTCAGTTAATGAATGCTCTGTATTCTTAGGTTGTTAAGGTCTTCCCTGCACAGTTCCTATTCTGCATTTTGCTTTTCATCTTTAAATTTTGCCTAGAAGTATTGTTAACCTGTTGAATATGGTCTATATCAGCAAATCAAGTTTATTAAAAAAAAAAAAACAAAAAATCAAATGGAATAGGTTAGTGCTGTGAGGAAATGTGTCTAGCTAGCTCTCAGATTTGCCTCAGGACTTGTTTAGTGTAGTGTGGTATTGATTACACAGCTTTGTTTAGGGGATGTAGAGTGAAAGGTGGGATTTGATCTTTAAGGCTGTTTTGAGAGAGGGTTCTTCTATTTTATGGTCATGTTTCTGCTGTTCTTCCTATTCTGGCCTATGCACAGAATATAGCAATGCTATAAATTGAGCTCAGAACTTAGGTGTAAAAATTGAAAGTGATAATGGTTTCAAATGAACTCCTTTTTCTCCAAATATTAGTTTGCACAGTATCGGTTGTGAGCTTTCTTTGTTCCCGTCGTAGGATTATATTGCCACTCGGAAACAAAATCATCCTAGATGCTGTAATTTTGCTGCTGCAAGAATTGGTGATGTCTAAAGAGAATCAAATGGTGTCAAGTGCTCTCAGTAATTCTGCACAATTTGGATACGAGCCCATCTTTTGAAATTAGTAGCTTATTGGGAGCTTCCGTTCCGTCTCACTCTATTTGAAGTAGTTTAGTTATCTGGTTCTCGAGTGTGTTGAGGACATTCTCAAGCCTCTGCACTTCCTTAACTGCTATTGTCATGGAAAGTTGCAGTATGTGTACGAAAAGATAGAGAAATGGGCTGAAATATAGGGACAGAAAATGGTTCCCAAGATATCCTAAAACTGGTTCTTTCTTCCATGGCTAGAAGTAACCATTGCTAGTAATGCATATTTTTCTTGATATCTATTGTACTATTTTGTTTATTATTATTTCATATTTTCAACCTTAAATCCACATATATGATTACTGTAAATTTTTACTTAGAGTAAACTAGGATTTTTTTAATCATAAATACATACATAATTAAGAATATTTTTTTTATGGATAATAATAACATTTTACCTTGTTATGTACCATTCATGTTGTGAAATATATAAATAAATTACTTTTTATTAGGAATTTTAAATTGAAACAAAGATAATTACAAGATTTATATTAAATTAAATGTGACATTTGAAACTTATCTCATGATAAGTTTATGTTCTTTATTGCAGTTGTAATTCAAATAGCACAACATTACATTTATCGACAACACCAAGTCATGATTTATTATTGTTGATTTTCACATGTGATTATAAAATTCTGCATAGGCTAGGAATTGGTTTTGTTACTCGTACTATACTTGCGAGTCGGATAAAATACATAAAATTATTTTATTTTGATGCTCGTATTATATTGTGCGTTTACCAAAATAAATCAAATCAAAACTGAATAAAAATTCATTCAATTTTATTATTTTTTAATCAAAATTTTGTATTAGATTAATTATTATTTATATTTTCATAATTTTTTATTAAAAAATTATTTATTTGTATCTATCTACATTTTTAGCTAAAAACTTATTTTATAAATTGTTTTTTTTCTAAACATCTTTTTGCCTTAAAAATTTCAATTAAAAAAATCAGAGAAAAAAAAAGTAAGGATCAAAATGAAACAAAAAATAAAATTAAAATCAAATAAAAAATATTTACGGATTAAAAACAATATTTAACAAAAAGGACCAAAGTATGATGTCATGGATTCTTTTATAATAAATGTCTTAAAAATATTTAAAAATTAAAAAATACCACTACATACTAAAAATGAATAGTATATATGAATCGAGTAAATAATACATATGAGTTTGCATGAATAGTATGTGAAATAATGTAATAAATAGTAAACTTATATATTGGTTTAGTTTTTTTTTGTATAATGAGAAGTTTAAAATGTTTATATGTAAAGATATATCTATAACCCAACAATCTAGACTTTTGAATTAAGTAGTGTTCATCAATGTATATAAGCCCTCTTGAGCATCTCCAATGATGCTCTTTACTTTTAGCTAGTATTTTTAATGTAAATAAAGAGCATTATTAATTATATAGATTGAAGATCAATATCCTTTCTAATGTTACTCTCTATTTAACTCTTTATTTTGACAAAATCTATAAAATCAAGAGAGACTATTGGTGAAGAAGTTGAGTGGCATAGGAAATAGTAATTTTCATTAATAAAATATAAGATAAATAGTCATTTGGACTTTCTAGTATTAGAGAACCAAACACACTCTTTATATCAATTTTAAAGATAAAGATTGTCATAAAGAGAGCATTGGAGATGAAATTTGAATCAAACATCTTTATTATAAAAAAAAATCTTAATATAAAGAGAGCATTGGAGATGCTCTTGTATGTGACAATGCATGTGACAAAGTAACTTCCGAATACAAATCTCTCTAACAAATGTGGCCAACAAATGTGGTTAGTTGAGCTCCTGTTGTTGCCACTCAATGGTTGAACAAATGGTACTAGAGTGGATGGCTTCATTATGACAAATACGATGTGGTTAAATATATTTAAGATAATTTATCTTAATTTTTTTTATAAATAATTAATTAATAACTAAAAGTTAAATGTAGAAAAAACAAAGAAATGATTGCTCTGCGTGTGAGGTTTGTAAACAAAGATTAGTCATGTATAGCCTTTAAACTAAAAAAATATTTAAAAGGAAAAAAGAAGAAGAAGGAATTCACGTGTTTTGTCTATTAATTTTAATCTATTCAATATATTTCTTACAAGTTAGGTGTTTTTTATTTAATGCTTTTCGTTTTATGTTGCGGACTTTGAACCCATTCACTATAATTATGATGTATAAAAAAAATCTAAACACTCGGTCTTACTAGAAATTAATTGTATATTTACATACAAAACACCAACCATTTACTATTTTTTTTATATTCTAAAATCATTTTTTTTTCAAATAAAACAATTGAAATTATGTTTTAAAAGAACCACCTAATGGTTCAAATACAATTATTGTACTAGTATTATTGATTATTTTTTGAATTAACATATATAAATCAAATGTACATATTTTTAAAAACTAATATTCTCATTAACATTAAATAATAATAATAAAATAAACTTTTTTATTTGTTTTTTATACAAATTTTTATGTTAATTATTATTTTATTTTTTGACACAATCCTATGAAAAAAACTATTTTTTTAAAATTCGAATTAAATTTCTTTTTAAATTATTTTAATTAAAAATCTCTAAATAAAGAAGAACGAATCATGTTTTTAAAGTAAAATATTTATGAAAAATATAACACGATCTGTAGCATAACATGAATTAAAAACTAATTTTTTTCCTATAATTATTGAACAATGACATTACTTTCTTAAAATATATATATATATATATATTTTTATAAGCTGCCTAATAAGGCAAGTTTTCCATTTATCCCCTGCATATCTAATTGAAAAAAGTTATCAGCACAAGGACTTTTTTAGTAATCTTCTTATGTTAATGGTTACTAATGATCTCATTAAAAAACTACAAAATCTTAAAACTAATCAAATGATATCAAAGCAATTTGTCCCAAGAAAGAAAAAAATCGATTGCACACCAGAATTTTTCTTCTTTGAGATATTCAGTAATTTGTTAGAATGACAAACAAGATTTTAAAAAAAATCACATCTGAAAATTAGCAAAAAGCATTAAACAAAGATTTTAAATTCTGATCGTGCAAATTTTATTTTATTTATTTATTTTGCTTTGGGCGGCCATATACATAGACACTGGAAGTCACGAATCGGCCACCGCACGCGAAACCCCGCCAAAATCCCGCAACCCCTGTAAGCCGTGAAAAGTTGCTTAAACAATCGCACGCAACCACCATAACGCCACTCTCTTCTTCACAAATCGGCCGCTTATCTCTCCGTCAAATCTCATAAAATCAGACTGAGTATTAACGTCATTTTTACACAACTTGCCTTAACTATGGATTGATTAAATAATAAACCCCACAAAATCCAAACCCACGTGCTTCCTTTTTGTTTCTATCCAATCCAGAAACCCTAGAAAATCACCGATCCGAAAAATGGCTTTAATCAGCGACGCATTACGGCAAGCCTTCATGCCGAAACACGAATACGAATCTCTTCGCGAAGAAGACAAAGCATGGGTGAAATTACAGCGACCGTTATTGGTTTCTACAGTGGGAATTATTTGCCTAGTGATATTTGTTTCGACAACTGTGAGTTTTAAAATTGTGTTTCCTGGCGATGGTGGGAAGAGACCTTTTTGTAACGGTAACAGATTGCAGCCATTGCCGATGAAAAATGGTGGGGATTCGGATTTGTTTCCTGGCGCGTTTTATTTAACGGATCAGGAGACTGTTGATTACTATTGGATGGTCGTTTTTGTTCCTTCAGTGATTGTTTTCTTGGTTTCGCTTGCCTACCTTGTTGCAGGTAAGGAATTTTTTTTTTTTTTGCTTTTGGGTTTTAGTTGGTTTTGTAGATTTGATTTCCTCTTTTGGGTAATTAAGGATGTATTAATTGTGGGTTTTAATGGGATTGGTTGCTTATGTTTGTTTCCAGTTATATATATATATATATATATATATATATATATAAACCAGCAACTTTTCTTCAATAAATGAATAAGATATCAGTTTAATATTTGGTTTAAGTTTTTCTTTTTTGGGAAAATTGGAACGAGGATGTTTGAATTTGTAGGTGCAATAATGATGATGGCTTATTGTACTTTGCCTTTTCTTCCATTTAGATATTTGGTTCCTGTTTAATTAAATGTATTGAGCATCAAAAGGGAAATGATGAAAGTTTCATTTCAAAGTATGGCCATTTGTGTAATGTGAGATCATATAATGCTTCTCAGACTGATTGGGGAATTTTGATACTGGAGTAAATGAGTTCTCTATTTTTTGTCTGTTGTAGTTCTTACTCTGGCATTTTGTTATGTGTTTGGTAAGAGGTACAGTGGATTAAATGTAAACATGGTCTGTGTTGGAGATAAACTGCTTGAAGTAACTAACTAACAAACAGAAGTATGGAATATGAAACTCTTTTTTAAGGACTGAATACCGATATTGATATAGAGTTGTCCTGAGGATAACATCTTGATCGTACAATACTCCTATTGTGTGCGACAAGAGTGTTCTGGAATGAGAATTAATTTGTGGGGGTCCTTTTGTTTTGGCATTAAGGTTAGAATATTTGAGATTGGGTTGGCAGGTACTTGGTTGCTTGTGTTTCTTGTTATCCAGAATCTCATGGTTTCATGCTTGATGCAGGGATGAATGTTGCTTATTCTGCTCCGGCAAGACATGGATGCTTGAAGGTGGTCGAAAATAATTACTGTGCGTCAAAAAGGGGTATGCTCTAATTGGGTTTACCCAGTGATGTAGAATCTAAATATTTGCAAGATCTGTGTTGTTCCCATTGAGGTCATTTCATTGCCTACGCATGCCATTGTAGTTCTTTATAGGGCTCAGTTTAGTGATTTAGGTTTTAGGACTATGCTTAGAAGAAGGAAACAGATAATTCTATATGCATGTTTTTGTTGTTTTCGTATTGGTGTTTGAAATGTTGGCTGGTGCTATTGTTCTGAATAGTGTAACTCATGTATTGTTGATAATTGCTCTTGCAAACATACCAACAATGCTGGCACCACATGCTGAAAGGTAAAACATGACCTATGAGAGGCACAGTAAGAAAGTGGAGGAATTAGTAAGTTCAGAATATCACTTAGAATTGCTAATGTGTTTTTTGTTTTGGCAACTGTGGTAGTTGTCTTTTTTCATGAAATTATATGATACACTGGTTTTTCTTTCCTTAGTGGCTTCTCTTTGCTTATTAAGTTCTGATCCATGCAGCATAGGGTTGCTAAGGAGACGAGAAATAAAATGGGTGATTAGGTTCTTGAAATTACTTAGAATAAGGCTTTGGTGATGTTTGACCTGTGTATGAGTACATTTATAGATCGGTGAACCCTTATAGTGTTTTTCTTTTTTAAAAATCTTTGACTTCTTGTTCTTTGCAACAGCTACCATGAGGCTCTGTGATTACTTTTGTAGTCAGCAGTTGCATATTCTCCAATGTGATATCTGGTTATTAATTTCTGTGCTAGACAGTTTCTTCTTCTTCTTCTTCTTCTTCTTCTTCTTTTTTTTTTGGGTGTGTGTGTTTGGGGGGTGTTTGCTAAAACGGTTTCACTTTTCCCCTTTGTATATTTGGGTGTTACCTTCACATCTGGTGATTGAACAGTATGTCAATCACAATTATTTTTTTCTAGTCTTAGGACAATGCTTTCATTAGTCAGGTCTAGACACCAGCAGATCTGCCAACTCCTTTCCCCTTTGTATATTCGGGTGACTGAAGCAGATCTGGGCGATTGTAAAACTTTGGACAATGCATTAGTTAGTCTGGTCTAGACACTTTCGGGTAAATTGGTTCCCAGGCATTTCTTTTCTTGAAAGTCTATTTCTTGATGAGAGTAGTGACTTAAATAGGTCAGGAAAACCAGATACTGAGTTTGCAATCAAGATTTTTGATTTCAATAACTGCAATGCATCATAAATCGCCTCCTTTTCTTTTTAGCCAGTACCCATAGATTTATGAGATGTAAATGAGCTCACTTCCTGAAACCTTTTTCCAATAAGAGATCAATAAATAAAGTTGAGGCAGCTGATTGACATCAACACTGATTAGTGCAATCAGAAGTCATGATGAAGTTAGAAATGGAAGAGTCAATTGGTTGACAGACTGCTGCCAAAATTGATAAAATAAGGATATCTCAGCAAACCATCCTTTAGTCAATTCTGGCTACTTAGTTGTGAAACGAACAAGAAGCTTAGAGCAATTTCCTAGCAGAATGATAAACAAAGGAACAATGGGCTCATTAATTGCTTTAATCCTCTAGAATAAAAGAATTAATCAGAATCAGATGGCCTTCTTTTGACTTCTGGTCTTCTTGAATAGGCAGTCAATCCTGGCCTTATATATACACATATATATATTTTTTCCAATTTGTTGAACTAATTCCCATAGCATTGGTGGAAAGTGAAACAAAGATTAATTTGTTTAAGTCCTGCCCTTTCAGCATATTCATGATATTGTTTTTCTGTATGTTACATATCTGTGTTGCTCAGTTGTTTTATTGATTTGAGCACCTTCTAACTGTCTTTTTGATGTATAGGTGGGGTGCGATGTCTGTCCATTTTGAATGGTGTCTTTGCCATTATCTTTGGTCTCCTTGCCCTGTTTCTTGGTTCAAGCCTCCTGACACTGGGGAGTAGTTGTTCGTTGCCTTTGTTTTGGTGCTATGAGATTGCGACATGGGGGCTAGTCATTTTATATGCTGGAACAGCCATCTTCTTAAGAAGGAAAGCTGCTCTGATTCTTGACGAGAGTGACTTTGTTGGTCGAAACCTGGGTCTGGAAATGTTGGAAGCCAACACTGTGGTGGTCTCTCCAGATGTGGAAAGGCGTGTTAATGAAGGTTTTAAGACTTGGATGGGGTCATCCCTCCTATCTTCCGACGAAGAAGACGAACCTGACTGTTATTCAGAATCACCACAAGTCACTCGCACTTCTTCTAACAGACAAAGAGTATGATCTTGAAGTCAAGCGGCATGGGTAATTTTTTTTGCAGAGTTTTCTCAAGTACAACATCGAGACTGGATGGAGCTTATATTGACTGTTCTTTATCAGAAGCCAGTTTAGTTGCTGATACTGTAATTAGATGAATGATGAAGGCATAGCTTTGATGATGATGTCCATGTGACTCTACGCTTCGTTGCACCTGGCCTTTTAGGTAGTCATCATAGATTATAGGCTGTAAATAATTCAATGGCGATTTCTCTTTCTATGTTCTGCGCCAAAGTCATGGAAAAGCAAGCATTTACACTCCACTAATGATTTGATCAACTTGAGAGTTCCAAGTCTAGGAAGCAGATCATCCCAAGTGTGAGCTGACTTATCAAGTGACTTCATTGGCTGAATTTGTTTTTTTAATAGCTTCTAATCATCGTAATATCATTACTGGATAGCTTATTAAATTTAATTTTCGATATTACGATGATTAGAGAATTCTCGAATTAACTTTCATACATCAATACTGAATTGTTTTTTGAATTTAATTTTTAATATTATGAGGATCAAAGAATTCTCGAACCAACTTTGATGTCACAACACTAAATCGAATCTAGTTAATTAAAAGCCTAATGCTACCAGGAATGGCAATGGGTGCAGGGCAGGGCGGGATGACCATTCTCGTCTCCGCCCTTGCCTCTGAAAATTTTATCCGATTCTTGTCTCTTGTTTTGAGCAGAGCAAAATTTATCATATCATCTTTACCTCAAACGGCAATAAGTATTTTCATGAGATACCGGTGTCTCATTTATTATTATTTTTTATCTCATTTTACTATTAAATTTTAAATTATAGTAAAAAAATTATAATTCATATAGAAAATAAATCTTAAGAGTCAATAATCATAAATTTTATATAGGATATAATTATAATTTTAGAGATGAAACGAACCATATAATACGAGACAGGTAACTATCATCCTTATCTCATTTTTGTTCAAAATAAATACGAGATGTTTCATCCCGTTCTTCAATCAATGCAGGAAATTTCTATGTTGATCGAGCCGGGACAGTGCTCCGTCGGGACGGAGCAAATTGCCAACCCTAGGTACAAGTAAGATGATAATCGTTTCTCGAGCTGAGACCTTAAGCAATTTTTATGGTTTCCGTCTATATTGTCTACGAATCCGTATGCTACTCAAAACTGGAAATTCCGAATGGGCCTAAGTAATTAAAAGCCCAATGCTAATAACTAAACCCTAGGTTGTATCACTCTAGCTCTCTTGCTGCCTCTCACGCTCCCTAATCTTCTTCCTCCTCTCTATCTTCTCCCAATCTGCTTACTTCGATCTCTAATTCTTCAACCATGGCAACATCCTACGACTACGACGAAGCTCCGAGCAGACACGATGACCAAGCCGGTCCACAAATTTACGACCCAAACTTCGTCCCGGACTCTGTCAAGTCCTTTGTGACTCACTTATACAGACACATAAGAGACAAAAATGTGTACGAGATTCACCAGATGTATGAAACCTCTTTCCAAACACTATCCGACCGCCTTTTCAAAGACGCTCCTTGGCCTTCAGTCGATGCGGTCGCTAATTATGTCGACAATGATCATGTTTTCTGCTTGCTGTACCGTGAGATGTGGTTTAGGCATTTGTATGCAAGACTTTCGCCTACGCTTAAACAGCGAATTGATAGTTGGGATAACTATTGTAGTCTTTTTCAGGTTTGTTTATTTATTGACGTTCATAATTCTTTTTTTTTTTTTTTTTGTCAATTCTTCTGTAATGTGCGTCGCGAGGGTGTTATAATTGTGGCTATTTTTTTTTTTTTTTTTTACGAATTTTTGTGTTTGGTTTGATTTTATAGGTGGTTTTGCATGGCGTAGTGAATATGCAATTGCCGAATCAGTGGTTATGGGATATGGTGGATGAGTTTGTTTATCAGTTTCAGAGTTTTTGTCAGTATAGGGCTAAGATGAAGAACAAGACTGAGCAAGAGATTGCCCTTTTGAGGCAATTTGATCAGGTAAAGGTTTTGGTTTTTGTAATTTGGGAATGGTTTGAATTTTTTGCCGTTGTTTTTAATGTTCGTTTGATTGGTGGATTGTTTCATTGTTGATTCCTTTCATTCGTTGCTGAAATTGGAATGATAGAAACAATGCTTAACTCTGGTGTTATTTGTGGCTATTACTTATTGGAAATTAGAGTTTTTATTTTTTTGACACAGATGAGAAATTGGGATTTACTCTTCACAGATTGACGAGACAATGACGGAGAAGAGGGAAAAAAAATTAGAATTAGAAAGGTTGTTCCTAGGGTTCTTTTATTGTTTGGATGGAATACTGCATCTTCTCTCTTAACTAAGGGAAACATGTGGCGAGCAATGAAAATTGAACCAAGATGGAATCATAATAAACGCTTCTGTAATTTGATAATTGCTAAACTCATGCAATCACACTTGGGATATGTTTACATTTTTTTGTTTGTTTTAATTTTGGATTAGAATCTAAGGTTTGTTTACTTACAGGCTTGGAATGTGTATGGAGTGCTGAACTTCTTGCAAGCTCTAGTGGAGAAGTCGATGATTATTCAGATACTGGAGCAGGAGAAGGAAGGTCTTGAACAATTCACTGCCACTGATGGGTATGATTACAATGGTGGCAGTAATGTTTTGAAGGTTTTGGGATATTTCAGCATGGTTGGTTTGCTGCGAGTTCATTGCCTTTTGGGTGACTATCATACTGGCCTGAAATGCTTACTTCCTATTGACATTAGTCAACAAGGTGTCTATTTTAGTGTTATTGGAAGCCACATCACTACAATATACCATTATGGTTTTGCCAATCTTATGTTGAGAAGGTATGTTCTAACTATGGTTTGTTCATCAGCATATATTTGTTTTTTTTGCTTCATTTTCCTGTTTTAGAACTCCATCCTTCTATTGTCCTCGAGTTGGTTTATTTTGCTCGAGTCCATCATGCCAGTAACTTTCCATCTTAGGTATGGTACTGCATGCCAGGAAAGTTTGTAAGAAGTACAGTTTGTGAAAAACCCATGTGAAAATGAGGGAATAGAGTATTTCCGGACATTATGGAAGCCTGTTTAGTCCACATTTAAGCATTCAATCATGCCCCCCATCATCTTTCCAACCCAAGGATAAAAAGATCTAGTCTTTTAGGTTAGGTCCATTGATTCTTCTCGTTTATTAGTTTGCATGTATAATATTGTTCCAGGCTTTACCTGGATGAAACATTTTTTTTGCTGTTCTTTTAATCTCAAACCTCCTTTTGCTCCTTTTAATAGGTATGTGGATGCCATTCGTGAATTCAATAAAATTCTCTTGTACATATACAAGACTAAGCAGTATCATCAGAAATCTCCACAATATGAGCAGATACTAAAGAAGAATGAGCAGATGTATGCGTTGCTAGCAATTTGCCTGTCACTTTGCCCACAAGTGAAGCTTGTTGATGAGACAGTCAATGCACAATTAAGGGAGAAGTATGGTGAAAAGATGGCTAGAATGCAAAGATACGATGATGAGGCATTTGCTCTCTATGATGAGCTGTTCTCATATGCATGCCCTAAGTTCATTACTCCCTCAGCTCCAAGTTTTGAAGAGCCTCTTGTAAACTACAACCAGGTATGCATTACACATTTTATATGAGCAGAGCTACTTAGAAATGAACAGAACACATATTTCTTGGTTCTCTTTTCTTCATTTACCAGCTAACCTATATAGAAATCACTTACAAATTAAATTTTATATATATAAGTGGAGATACTTAGAAATATTTGAGCAGGACTCCATACTCTATTTTTTTTCTTTTTTTGTTGACCAGCTAACTTTTGTAGAAAAACTTTTCAGTTGAAATTTATATCGCCAGAAACCACTTATTGAGCTTGAGTTTATCACAGAAGTCGAAATATGCTGCATGTTATTGAAAGAAATTTGTTATAATGAATTCATATGCTAACATAACATTAAAGTGGATGCTTAGAATTTACTTTATTCCAGAAATAGGAGTGGAAGGAAAGAAAATAGCAGTGGCAGGGATCACACCAAACTAAAGCAGGATATATTTTCTCCTAAAAATATTTTTGATAATATCATCTGATTCATGTTGCGATATGTTTTATATGGACAACAGTACCACTTATAAATTCCAAATGGTTTAGCACCTACTGTACCCTATAAAACACTATAGCTGTTGTATTTTTGTCATCTTTCAGCCAACAACCATTTATCACATGCCTTACTAGACTAAAGGAGTCCCACTTGGTTTCGCCATTTGTTTATCTGAGCTTTGTGAGTTTTATCGACTGGTCAATCAGGATTCCCTCTTAATTTATTCTCTTAAAAAATGATGGCTGAGCATATCTCGGAAGTGGCATTTGCTTTGTTTTTTCTTTTTCTTTTTTTCCCTCCATATATTCTTCTATTTTGATGTGTGGGCTAAACCCTGCATTTTGGCAGTCGAGTTGCTTGGCTGGTTTTCTTGGTCCCTCTGTGCCTGTGCAGGCATGTGATATTTACAAATTGCTGTTTATCTCTGCAGGATGCTTACAGACTGCAACTGAAGCTGTTTCTTTATGAAGTAAAACAGCAACAATTGTTGTCAGGTGTTCGAACCTTCCTGAAAGTGTATTCAACCATATCCCTTGGGAAGCTTGCTAATTACATGGAAGTGGATGAACCAACTCTAAGGTGTCGATTTTGTTTTGTGGGCTTATTTCATTTAAACTTTAGATGACTCTAAATGATGTTTTGAACTTGCTGCTGATACATCTTGCAGGACTATCCTGATGACATATAAGCACAAGACTCATGCTGTCAATTCCGAGGGAAAGATTATATCTAATGCTGATGTGGATTTCTACATTGATGATGTATGTCTTTGTGCATGTGATTATACTATCTTGTTTGTAGTTTTTTTTTTTAAAAAAAGTTGTGCATGAAAGTTTCACATTATGTTAAATTGCATAATAGCATGTTCTTGTTTAGAGTTTTGATAGTCTCTTTGGACCATTGCTACTAGCTGGACTTGTTGTCTTGTTTGGAGTTTCGATAGTCTCTTTGGACCATTGCAACTAGCTGGACTTGTTCATTTTGTTTATAACATTGATAAACAAATCACTGAACCTTTCAGCAATTCATTAGAAAGTCACAAACGTGGTTAACAAAATCCATAACAACTTGCATAACTGGTCCATGCTAGCCTAATGTGAAGCACGTAATCATGGTTATGTGCTCATTTTCTGGTCATAATATTTGGCTGTGGCAAATCTTCTTTCATCAGAGCTTCCATTAGAGTTGTGGTGTGCACACTGTTGGCCATACATTTATGTACTCATGTTTGATGTGTGCATATGGTGATTAGATCCAACTAAGCAATGCAAATCAATTTATTTTTGAGCTATACTATAAAAAGGCAAAATGTAGTTGGTGGTATTTATTGGAAAAATTATGTTCCTTTGTTCTCAAATCACATTTTATTACTGCAGGACATGATTCATGTTGTTGACAGCAAACCAGTGAAGCGATATGGTGATTACTTTTTGCGGCAAATTGCCAAGGTAAACTCATTTTCTTGTTTGCTGGTGTTCCTGTTTTGACAACAGTATTGATCTTCTCCTGTAATAATTTTTTCCTTTTCCTTGTGATACAGCTTGAAGCAGTGATAAATGATATGGATCGGATAAAGCTGGAATGAGGCCTGTAACTTAGCATTTGACCTGCCAGAATCTGCATCTAGTTCCTTTTGTTTGGCTGAGATTTTGTCATTTATTGGCATTTTTTGTTTTCTGTTTTATGTATTTTTAAATTTTGAATTAGCTCAGCTATGTAACCTCCTGCATTTTTGGTCCCAAAGAAAAAACCAAAGAGAGAAATCGGGTTGCAGGATCCTTAAATATGTTGTTGCTATGTCATTCTCATAATTATATATACGAGGGACATTATTATTGTAATTGGAATTATGCCTCTTGTCGATTTATATGGCTGACAAAATGGAACGTGTACCATGCACTTGTTATTTTCCAATTGAAAGCGGCGGAGATTGCTAGCTCCGGTGCCTGTGCCTATGTTGACTGGTGGTTGTATCATAAAATGGTTAGGATGTTTCCGTTTGTTGACCTACGTTATTGTTGCTTTTCCTTGTGCCATTATGAGGATGTGTTTGGTTTTATCATGTCTGCCTCCAGCTTGTCCGAATCGAGAAATAGGTAAATGCTGTACTTGGAAGTAAAAGCTTGCTTTGGTGTCAAGCAATCAACATGTAGTCATGAGCTTTTGGACGCATTTTTTTTTCGTTTTAATTGATTACGATACTAATTTTTCCAAAATGTGGTCTTAGTTGAAAGCAAAGTATATCGGACACAACTCTTATGTTGCTCCATGAACACTTGACTGTTAGGTTTGCCTTCAATTTGGTTCATTTTGTATATCCTTATCTCATCTAACTGTCAACGGTCCCTTGCATGCAGAAAAGGACATCCTCTTCTAATGGTTCGCTCTCAAGTCTTAAACACTAAACAATATAACTAGCACCCACTCTCCCCTCGTGCGTGCGACTCACCAAATCCCTCTTCCTTTCCTCCCACAAATTTAATAAAGCATGGTCGGAATTTAGATTTCAAATGGAAAACAAGCTTGGAAGGAGCTTATTACACTTCTGCCTACGAATATTGGTTGTGATAGGTGCCCAACACAGGTAGATTCAAAACCAGCAATGACAAGGTGTGCAAGGTGTTGCCTGCACAATTCAATCAGGATAGTTAACCTGATAATGCTCTTTTACGGTATTGGGATGATCATATACTCGCTTTGGCTGGAAAAGAAATGGGATCAAAGTATTGCTAAGGTCCCTCATCAGCAATCTTCTCTGAAACCATGGTAGATTTCCTATCCCCACTTATTCTTCAAAACTAGACTCATATTTCTTCAAACTTCAATTCACGAAATTCGTTTTGTTTTCGATGAATTGAGAGTATGTCATTAGCAGAAGAAGAAACATCAATAGATGGTTGATTCAAGAGTTCCAAGCAATGGTTACTCAATGGTTCTAACTAACAAGTTACTCTCTCTGTTTTCAGGTTTATATTCACATTTTTGGGAGTGGGAATTGCTGTCTGCTTAAGCACCATCGGTGGTCATATTATAGCTAATTGCATGAGCAATTCTACTCTTTGTTTCGTATCCTTTCTGCTTAGCTTTAACATAATTAGAAAGAACAAAAGAGCATATGAAAATTTCAAGCTTTACCGTTTTCAAGGACTGTTTAACCAGTGGTCATGACATCCTTAATAAGCTCATTATCTGTGCTTCTAGAGGAAGTTCTCCATGCGCTTTGGTTGGATGTTGCTTGTAACATTCGAGACTGCTACATATAATTTCTATCCTTGACTAAAGTTTTAGTATATTGTTGCTATCTGCTGCCTTCTTTTCCTTGAAGTGGCCGTCGTCGTTGCAATTTTCTTCAGGATAGACTGGGCAAAGGTATGCTTGCTCTAAGTTTTAGTAATGATCATAGCTTATCTCAACCAGTTTAAGACTGAGATTAGCATCTATGGTTTAATTATTGGCAAATTCTCATTATACTGAAGCTAGGAAGGACAGATGTAGTTTCCACTCCCTTTTACACCCAACATTTGACATTTTCTGCAGAATAGTCGGATTTCTAGTTTGGTTTAATACTGAACCTATTTTCGAGTCTCGATACGGTGCCCTGATGCTGGTCATAAGCTGCTTGTTTATGAATTATTTGTCAACGTGCACTCGATTCCTAAGCGTTTTTCTGAACCAGGCTGTACATCTCATGCTATATTTATCCTTGTCTTCTTTACAGCAAATTATTGCATATATTGGCAAGAAACAGACAGATTTTGAGATGTTTATGTTGATCCATGTAAAGATAAGCCGCGCAGTCACACTTGTGATTTTGGTGGCTCAGGTAATTCATTTTGAACATAATGTTATCAGAACTTAGTCATCAGAGCGTCTAGTTTGTTCTCTCCAGACTCCAGAAGAGGAGATCAAAACTCATATTGGTAGTTATCATTTTCCAGATCAGTGTTGTTATACTTGCTGCCCTTCTTTGGGCAGTAAGTTCCGAGCCAAGAACTCACTTTCATGAGTTAGATATCTCGGCTTTTAGTCAATCCTTTTTAGTTCCAGCAGAGTCACCTGGATTTGCAGAGGAGTCGAGACAAGCTTGCAGAAGATGTGGGGCTGTTTTACCTTTGCGAGGAGAAAATGCACCAAGAAGCTTTTTGTTACGTATTAAGAGTGTACTAAGGAGGAGATTTCAGGGAACAAACACAGTTTACTAATTTTCTTTCACCCAACGCACAACAAAAATTTTGCAAGTAGATAAAAGTGCGCTGCATTTTTGTGTAAGATAAAATGTTGGGAGAAATTTTTAGCCCTGCAAGAAATATTGCATGGACTTTTAAATGCCTAAGATAGCTTCCTTGTCTCACCATATACACTACTTGGAAAGCAACTTCAAATATGAATAGTTTGTGTTTAATCAAAGTTTAATGATAAACTTCGGTTAATGCCCTCCTCTCTCTCCTTGTATAACGGATCGATTATCCAAATTCTTCCTTAAAAAACCTCTCTAATTTATCTTCATATTTTCAACTTGTTTCTAATATATTTTTTTGTCAAAATTTTCGATCAATTTTCAAAATTAACCTCTATATTAATAGATATAAATCACATATTCAAAATTAACCTCTACATTAATAGATATAAATCACATATGTCTAATAATAGAGATACTTTTATTAAATCACGTACAATGTATAAATTACATGTTTAATTTAGATTAAATTATCTGAAAATTTTTACTAAAATAATAGATTAGAAATCAAGTCAAAAAATAATGATCCATTAGATGCGATTTTTTTTTTAAAAAAACATATTGAAAAATTGAGTTATTATAGAAGGACCGATGAGAGTATTAACCAGATGAACTTAATTTTTTATTTTTTATTTTGCATGAAATCTAACCTAAAACCATTGCTAATCACATAATGGAATCAAAAAAGAGAAAAAAAAAAACGAAAATTCTAATCCGCACGCAAGTAATAATAATATTTGAATCCAATGAACTAATCAGTCAAAAGATAGTTTTGAGCAAACATAAAATCCGATTTGTGAAATAATATTTAGTTATCGACCCCAAAGACCATAGACGACCAGAAGTAGGTAACACAGGTCTTAAGATTTCAAATACAGACGACACCTCATCCAATAAACGACAGGGACGCGCGGTGGTTCGCATATAGTTGGTTTTAGTAGCAAAATTTACCCCTTGAATATTGAGGTTATAATAAAGATGATGCCGATATTATTAATGTGTGCTATTTAGATCTCAAATTATTATTATTTTTTTAGATAAACTTAATCATTTTCTATTTTATCTGAGTTTTTTTTTGTTAATTAAAATATTTAAAACGAAACATGTTTAAAACAACATGGTTTTAAATATTTTTTTATATTTTTTAAATTAAAATTAATTTTTAAAAAATATTATTATTAATTATCTAACAACTAAAATCACATTTATAAGCAACAAAATTATAAACTCTTCGATAAAACTAACTATTATATGTATATATTGATTTTTAATTTTTAAACAACAAAATATCCTTAATTATTTAACAACAAAAATGAGATTCATAAACAATAAAATTATTTAAACTTTCTTAAATTTAACTATTATTAAATATTTTTTTCGAATCAATTTTTAATTTTTTTAAAAACTAATATTTACATATTTTAAATTAATAATATAGACACATCTAATAATTTGACGTTAAATTATGCTATCACACCTTGTACAGACAAACTCTTCAGACACAGACAAAACACCAGAAACATAAACATAGGCAGAAGCAGAAACTCTCTCAATGGAATCTCTGAGTACTAAGGAGACAACAAGCAAGGACTGTAATGGCAAATCTGTGTTTGAAAATGTTGTTAGAGCTCCTGATGTTCCAGTTTATGCGGTAATAGTTTCTTGCACTCTCACATACTTTTTACTCTTATCATCTTTTTTGTCAGTCTCTATAGTCACAGTCATTGTTTCATGCTTTACTCTCATTTCTTTCAAGTGCTTGTCCAACATGATATGGTATGGTTTCTTGATGAACAGAACCATTTTATTAACTATAAACTCTGCAATGTCTGAGAATGATAATGGTCATGAATTACTTGTGTTGTACAATTTGTTTTGAAGAAAGTGAATTGTCAAAGAAAGCTATTTATTGTGTGAAATTTTGAAAGAATTTAATGAAACCTAGGTGGGTTTTGGAATTTTTGATCATTTTTTCCTTTTTATGTTAAAAATGAACAGGTCATGGTTGCTTATAGCAAGGACCCTAGCCCACTTAAGCTGAATTTGGGTATTGGTGTTTATCGAACGGAGGTGAATGTCATTTTTGCAAATTAGCCAGTGCGGTGATAAATTTGTGAAACAATTGCATAGATATGCCTTTTGCTTCAAATGTAATTTAATTTTGACGAAATTGGTTTCTGGGTTGGCTCTATTGATGTGATAACAGGATGGAAAGCCTCATGTTTTGAATGTTGTCAGACGAGCGGAGAAGCTTCTACTTGATGATAAGTAAGGTACTTTATTGTTAATTGTTGGAACGTCAACTTTTCATTGTGGTTGAAATTCAAGTTTTTATGATCTTCAGGTCTGCTACTAAGGAGTATCTCCCTATTACTGGAATGGCAGAATTTAATAAATTGAGTGCTCAGCTTGTTTTTGGTGCTGACAGGTACAATAACTGCACACTGAATGCAGTGGTATTAGATATATTGCAAAGAACAAAATGTATCGAATTTTGTGAATTGGAGAATAAAGCTTACAAAATCATGTCTATGGCTTCCAAGTTGGTTTACTTAGTTGTGTTATTTACAAGTTGGTTGTGTCAAAAACTCTGCTTTCAAGGATTAGAGCTGCCTTTTCTTTGATACTTCATCTTATTGTAATTGATAAACAGCCCAGCTATCAAAGAGAACAGAGTGACTACAGTCCAATGCTTGGCTGGTTGTGGTTCCCTAAGGACTGGAGCTGATTTTTTAGCAAAACATTACCACCAAGTAAAGTACTTATTCTTAGCGTCCTGTTTTTTCGGCTTATTGTACTCTTCATTCATCGCTATGATCATATGGGAGTTAATTTTTTTTTCCCTGTCTTGATATCTGCAGCACACAGTCTATCTTTCCCAGCCAACATATGGAAACCATCCAAATTTTTTCTTAGCAGCAGGTCTAACTTTGAAAACTTATCGTTACTATGACCCAACAACACGTGGGCTGGACTTTCAAGGTTTGCATTGTTTTGGAATTTCCTATTCTTGCATCACTTCTTCTCTTCTATTTTTCCCATCAATTTATGTCACCTTGAATGATGCACTTCTATGTGAACAATATGAAGCTTTATTTCAATTGTTCTCTTCTCTAAAAGACTAAAACTACCATAATCTAGATTGTTTTTATCTCTTATACTTTCCCTAACTATAAATCTTTGATTGCAACAATTCGTTCATATCCAATAATCTGTTGCCTTTTAAGAAAGAATGATATGTCCTAAAGCAGTTATTATGTCCCTCACAAGAAGACACTGGTTTGTGGATATGGTTATTCATATGTTTTTGGCTTCAACTTTTTGTTATTGATTTTGCGTAGGAATGTTGGAGGACCTTGGTTCTGCACCATCAGGAGCCATTGTGCTTTTCCAATCATGTAGTCATAACCCTACAGGTGTGGATCCAAATCTTGAGCAGTGGGAGCAGATCAGGCAGCTGATGAGATCAAAAGGACTCCTACCTTTCTTTGATAATGCTTACCAGGTAGACAAACATCAGATTAAAGCTCAAACCTCCAGCTCTTCTTCATATACTTTTTGTTCCTTTGTTCTTTTAATTACGGGATTTCATTCTACCAGGGCATTGTAAGCGGAAGTTTGGATATGGATGCACAGTCTGTTCGAATGTTTGTTACAGATGGTGGTGAATGCCTTGTAGCTCAATCCTATTCAAAGATTATGGGACTCTATGGAGAACGTGTTGGTGCGCTTAGCATTGTAAGGCACTGGCTTTGACTGGGGTCTCTGCAATCAAAAACTTTGTTTGCTGAGATAACTTTTCTGTTCTTCTCATAATCAGGCTTTTCTTAAGAATTGCATGCAAACCGTTCTTGCTTTCTCTGGGCCCATGCAATGACTTTCTATCATGGCTATTGTCTTATCAGATGCTCAAAATGTTCACTATTTTACAGGTGTGCAAGACAGCAGATGTGGCAAGTCGGGTTGAAAGCCAGCTGAAACTTGTGATCAGACCCATGTATTCAAACCCACCCATTCACGGAGCAGCCATTGTGACTGCTATATTGAAGGACAGGTATGGAAGAAGTAATATGCGTCTCTGGTTAGCCAATAACATTTTGAGTTCGGGAGTTCTGCAATGAAAATTGTCAACTAGAGAATATGACCGTCTTCTGTTCATGCAAATACAAGTGTGCACATGACACATTTCTTTGGGATCAACTACATATGTTAATGTTCCATGGTGAAAACATGGATTTTGAATTTGTGCATTTAATGTTTTGGAATGAAGAATTGATGATGCAGCTTGACCTAGTGAAGGTAATCAATTAGACAATGTAATGATCAACACTTGAATGTGAAATACAGAAGAGCATAGCTGGTGTGAAATGAGTCAAAAGGCACCTTGATGAGAAAAACTAGATGGTTATATATTTATCCTCCTTTTAATCTGTTATTGCTATGTCTGTAGGGAAATGTTTGATGAATGGACTGTTGAGTTGAAGGCAATGGTTAATCGCATTATTGACCTGCGTAAGCAACTCTATGATGCTTTGTGTGATAGAGGTAAGGCTACTTGATTCAGTGAGTTCCATGGAGTTATCGACATTGAACTTTTTGTACAACCACATTTGCTCATAATCAAAACGGTTGATTAAGCTGCATCTTTGAAACAGCAGACATGTAAAAAGAGAACCGGAAATTCTTCCAATATTACTTCATTTTGCCTTTGCCAAACCATTTCTAAGATTGATATGTAGTTCCTATTCATAATTCAATCGATTATATAACTTAATCATGTTTGAAAAAGGTGATTTAGGTTAGCTGCCATTGCTTTGCTTGTAGATCTCAGGGAGGTGAACATGTTTTACTTATTCATCAGGTACACCTGGGGATTGGAGCCACATTGTGAAGCAGGTTGGGATGTATGCTTTCTCCGGATTGAATGCAGAGCAAGTTGGTTTCATAACCAAAGAATACCATATCTACATGTCATCTGATGGGTAACTACATTTATCCCTGCCCTTCAAGTTTTGCTTAGTTTTTTTAATACAGATTCTGAGGATTTAATGAATTGAGTAATGATCCTATTGATGAAATTTTGAATGCCATGCTACTTAAAAGAGGTCAGGGTTAGAAGTAGGCTAGTATATTTTTTAACCTCATCTCTTTCGACGGTGCAGGAGGATTAACATGGCAGGCTTAAGTGCTAAGACAGTCCCTTATCTGGCAGATGCAATCTATTCAGCTGTTACCCGCATCCTGTAGATTAGTACAGGGATCAATTTATGAAGCTTTAATGCAGCAATGCTGTGAGATTATCAGGAATTGGTTTTTTAAGGTAGAGAAATGAACTTGACTGTTCCCAGCAGTAGGCATTTGCTTGTTTATGTTTTCTCTTTTTCTTTTTCCCTGGTTTTCTTGTGTCTGCCAGAACTAATTAACTTTTCTTATTTTGACAAATCCAAAATTGATTAATTTGGTAGATAGTCATTAGTCATATCGAAAAGGGTCCGAGGATACCTCTTTTTGTCGAAAAAACAAAAATGGTACGGTCAAATGAGACCACAAATGAAAGCCTGAATTTCTGAAGTTGCTGGCCAAGAATCTTATGAGTGGAGAATTGAGGATCCAGAAAAACAAGAATTCAATTTAACAAAAGCCACTGCATATATTTTGGATAAAAGGGCATAGGATCAAATTGGGATTAGATCCAAAATAGAAAGAGTAAACTATAAATTAGTCTCTCGAGTTTTTGAAAAATAAATTAATTAGTTTTTTTAAGTTTTAAAAACTAATTATTTAATACTTTAATAAATATTGATTACATTCAATTTAATATTACTCAACTTTAAAAATATATTTTTTATCAATTTTTTTATACGTAAATTAAAAAAAATAAATTAGAAAAGAGTATAAAACGAGGGAAAAAATAATAAATAATTAAATTTTAAAAAATTAATTAATTCGTTTTTCAAAATTAAAAGAAGTTTACTCAAAATAGGAGCTACATCATTGCTATCCAAAAATTCAATGACTTCTAGGAAATGATGAAATATTATCCGGTGTGGCGTGTGCCCACAGCCCTCATCCTCGATTCACGTGCCATATCAGCTGTTTGGGCCCCACTTAACCATTCTTTTAGAATGCAACTGTGGTAAGTTTTAGAGTTGAGTGTAATTCGGTCCTTGAATTATGATCAAATTTCATATGAGTTCTTCAATTATTTGTTATGTCCAATTTTATCTCATCTAACGTTACAATTACCATAGCAAAGAATTTTGAGCCCGATTACATTTTATTAAACCAAGCATAATTGATATTTTAGGTGCTAGCTGAATTAAATGATGAACTTATTTCGTGATAAGCAATTGAAGTCCATTTAAATTTGAATTTTTCGAATGAATTAGGAATTTAGGAAAAAAATAAAATTGTATTATGCAACTCAAACTCAATGCTTTGTTATTTGACTTCACATTAATTAGTTGGTTCTCGTTAATTTTTTCATTCATCCAACACGTAATTGGTTTTAATTTAGAAAATTTAATTATTTTTTGACAAAAAAATTGATTTATACAATATATTTGATTTTAAAAAAGAGATTGTTATGATCAATTATGTTATTATTTTTTTTAATATAACGATTAGCATATTTTTTGCACCAACTTTTATATAAAAAGATTTAATTCACTTTTGATTAGATTTTAGACAGAACATTTGTATTTATATCAGACAATTATAAAAAAAAATATCATTTTAATTTATATTTAGATTTTACCTCAAATGATAACATAGAAAGTGACTTTTCTTACAGTTTGGTAACAAAAATAATGCTATAATTGAAAAAAAGAACTTACATGAACTTTCCATGATAAATAGGCACCAAGTTCATTTTGGTAGTTTTGATCAGAACGTGGGCAATGGGACCCAACATTTGTCCATTCAAAAGAAAGATGAGTAACGACCTTCTTCTTTCGCCGCGTAAGCTGTAAGAAGCCTTCTCTCATCCCTCCTTCTTACTATAAGAAAGGATCACAAAACAGAACACTTCAAAATCAAGAATTTCAACAAACCAACTCAAGAAGGCCAAATAAATTAGGAAAAAAAAAAAAAACTACAAAGCAAAATGAACCCAGAATTGACATCATCATCTTCTTGTTCTTCTAGTGATAGAAGAATTAGCGTATTAGCAAGACACCTTGTTGGCGTTGAAATGGATTCTCAGAACGATAGCATCTCGGCTTTTCCAACTTCCGGTTCTGACAGCAACTCTGTTTTCTCCCACGTTGTTCGCGGTCCTGAAGACCCCATCCTCGGTGTAAGTGATCAAATCAAATCCTCTCTTTGTTTTTTTTTCTATTGGTTGGACTTGAGAGATTGAAAGATTGCAGCTTCATTTATTGACTTACTGATTTATATTTTTTTTGTTCTTTTAATGAATAATATATAGGTGACTGTTGCTTATAACAAAGATCCCAGTCCTGTTAAGCTCAATTTGGGTGTTGGTGCTTATAGAACTGAAGTAAGTTTCCTTTTCTGGATTAAATTGTGTTTTTCGTGATTTTTTTTTTTTTAGGATCATGATAAATATTGAAACTTTCTCAGTAAAGGTGTTATTATGTGTATTTATTAGATAAAACCCATGCTGTAAATAAGTGGGTTTTGGGCCTTTTGGCTCATTTTGCCATCTGTTTGTTAACAGGAAGGAAAGCCTCTTGTTTTGAACGTAGTGAGAAAAGCTGAGCAGCTGCTTGTTAATGACAGGTGGGATTTTTCTCAAATTGTTGTTACCTGGATATCACAAGTCTAACATTAATGTAATTTAGTAATAGATCTTCGATTCACTGTCTTGTGTGTAGGTCGCGAGTTAAGGAGTATCTTCCTATTACTGGATTGGCAGACTTCAATAAATTGAGTGCTAAGCTTATGTTTGGTGCCAACAGGTATAAGACTTTAACTATTGATTGCCTTTTTCTGGTTTTGGATTTTGTCGTTTGAGTCGTTTGTTTGCTTTATTATTAGATGCCGAGGTTGTTCCTGATTGCTTGCCTTTTTTTTTTTTTTTTTTTTTGGGGTGGAAACAGCCCTGCAATTCAAGAGAATAGGGTTACAACAGTTCAATGCTTGTCTGGCACGGGTTCATTACGGGTTGGAGCTGAGTTTCTGGCAAAACACTATCATCAAGTAAAGCACTTTCTTATTTAACTTTTTTGGATCATTATAAATGGTAAGAAGATAGATTCATTTTGTTTTTAATGTCATCTTGATCTGCAGCGGACAATATACATTCCCCAACCAACATGGGGAAACCACCCTAAAGTTTTCACTTTGGCAGGGTTATCTGTCAAAACTTACCGTTATTATGATCCAGCAACACGTGGGCTGAATTTCCAAGGTTCGGAATCTTCCTCCATATAAGCTAGTACCCATATATTCCTTCGATTTTGCTGTTCCTTTTGAATGTGCAGTTCTAGAATTCCATCCATGAAATGCTAACAGTCTCTAGATAAACATCTGCACTGGAATACTTTGTGTTGCACTCAATTTCCCACATGCAGCTGCATAATGCTCAATGGACTTAATTAAATGTTTTGTGTTCAATAATTTTTGTGACTAGTTTTTCTCATTCTTCTTACCTTTGTAGGCCTCTTGGATGACTTTGGTTCTGCTCCATCTGGAGCTATTGTACTTCTTCATGCCTGTGCTCATAACCCCACGGGCGTTGATCCAACTGTTAAGCAGTGGGAGCAGATCAGGCAGTTGGTGAGGTCAAAAGGGTTGATGCCTTTCTTTGATAGTGCTTATCAGGTAGGGTACTTCTAATGCAACAATAGCAGTGTTGGATTGCTACTTCTAATGCAACAACAGAAGTGTTGGATTCCTGCCCACTAGGATTTAATCAACAACAATAGAGAATGATGTTTGTTATCATCTCGTCAATTTTTCTTTTTCTTTTTTGCACCCTAGGGTTTTGCAAGTGGGAGTCTGGATGCTGATGCACAGCCTGTTCGCATGTTTGTTGCTGACGGCGGCGAACTTCTTCTAGCTCAAAGTTACGCAAAGAACATGGGGCTCTATGGGGAACGTATTGGTGCCTTGAGCATTGTATGAGTCTGAAACCCAATTACGTATTCTGAGCATGCATTAATTAGTTATTTGAAAAAGCACTCTAAATTCTTTTGTGTTGGATACTTTTTTCTCAAGTCAAACAAATTTGTACTTCTGCTAATATCACTAAGGATTCTTCATTTTACTGGAGTGCTAAAGTCGATGCATGAATTAAATGGAAAGCCCATGGTTTTATCAAGCTTAGACTTCGTCTTTTTCACAGCATTCATTTCTTTTCAGGTTTGTAAGACAGCTGATGTTGCAAGCAGGGTTGAAAGCCAGTTGAAACTTGTGATTAGACCCATGTATTCAAACCCACCCATTCATGGTGCATCTATAGTGGCTGCTATTCTGAAGGACAGGTAATTAAATAAAAACTGACTACCTGTCCTGCTGTACTGTTTGGGAAAAAAAAGCATGGATTTCTAATTTTGTTTTGATTGGAACAATGCATGAAGTCAAACGCCTCTAGTTGCACTGAAGTTCTTATTCTTGCCTTCCCTCTTAGAAGGGAAATAACATTTTGCAGCAGAGGCAGTTGGGGGTGGATTTCACATCCATATATTCTGTTTCAAATTCTTTCTGTTATGTATGCAGGGATTTGTACAATGAGTGGACCATTGAGTTGAAGGCAATGGCTGACCGTATAATCAGCATGCGCCATAAACTCTTTGAAGCTTTGCGTGCTAGAGGTTAGCCACTCTTGAGTTTCTCTTCTCTGTTTGGCAGTCACTTAATGTGCCTCTTTTTCCTCGTTGTTCTTCTAGTGGTTTTATTATTCCTGTTATAATTTTCTGTAATGGATCTTGGGGTGATATTGGCACATTGGTGGTCATGTTAATTTGCATAGAAAATTATGATACCTTTGTGTCAGTCTTACCCTTGGCCGAATCTTAATCTTTTTATATTTATGTCTTGTTCCTGTTTTGCAGGGACACCTGGTGACTGGAGTCACATTATTAAACAAATTGGAATGTTTACTTTCACTGGACTGAACCCTAAGCAAGTTGCTTTCATGACTAAAGAGTACCACATCTACATGACATCAGATGGGTAATAAGCTCTATTCCTTAGAGTCAGCTGTGTGATTTTTGTATACTAAAGAAACAACATAGGGTCATTTTTGGAGAAGTCTGTTTAAAATGTTTTGCAGGTTTAACCAAGTGAGGTGACATTTGAAAGCTTGGTTGGTGTTTGGAAAAGATACTGATGTGCATTCCTTGAAACACAACCCTTAGTTTACTCCATAAAGAAATTGTTGTGTACTTCTATCATTTTATTTGGCAGGAGTGAGAGAACTTGGAGGATTAGGCAGAATGAAAAAAAAATGTTCACCAACAGTATGTTTGGTAGGAAGGATTAAGTCGGAATGAAGGCATGCTTTAGTTAGTCATCTCTATCCCTTACGGTTATAGGTGGAGTATTGATTTTGGAATAATGGAGATTAAACCTCAGAAATCGAACTCCAATTATCTTTCCATCTATATGTGTCCTATTCCTATTTATCTGTAGGATGAAAAAGAATGTGAAGTGCAAATGAATCCTCCATGCTTTTCATCTTACCAAAGGATATAAATACATAGTTTTTACTCTTAATTTGCTCCTAGAGTTGCTTTCAGACCTGATTTTTGGGTTAAATCCTGCTATGACAGCATGCACTTGTAGACCATGAACTGCTGAATTTTCGTAACAGTATTGTATATTTCTAATCAGGAATTTTATGTATCTTGTGCAGGCGGATTAGCATGGCTGGTTTGAGCTCTAAGACAGTCCCTCATCTTGCAGATGCTATACATGCAGCTGTTACGAGAGTTGTGTAGATCTAAGACCGTCCCTCGTCTTGCAGGTGCTATACATGCAGCTGTTACGCGAGTTGTGTAGAATTAAGCAACAATCTGGTTCTCTATTTTCGTTAACCCTTCTCTTCCGTGGGTTGTCATTTCTTTTTGCTGTCTTGCCACAATAATTGAAGTGCCTACACAGAATGGGAAAAATGAAAACCTTTTAATAAGAAATCTTTCTTTGGATAAACATAGTTACAGTTGCATTTTTTAATCAATGCACCCTTGTCTATTTATTTTATTTTTATTTTTTGCCTCCTGGCATGTGTTTTGTGTCTGTGTTTTCCTCAATACACTGTCAAAGATTGATAGGAGATAAGTTCGAAACTTGACAAAGGAGGAGCTTCCTTCAATGCCTTTGGCTGAATGATCCTCCAGTGTACCAAGTTTGCTGGATGTATCATTTGCTTGCCCTGTGAATATCGCCATTGACAATATTTGAATTTTTCAGACTGAAGTAAAACACAATGACACAAATTTGTGTTTGTTACCAAGAAAATTCTTCAGGTGATAACTGATACAGGCTTGCGAGGGGTTGTGCTCAATATAGCATTTTTAGCCCAGTGTAGTTTCAGAGCCAGTTGTCAGAGAGACCTAGCCATTTTTTTTTCACCAATTAATTAATCCTTTTGTTTAATTAATTATCATCTACATCATTAAGCTCTACGTTCCTTGCTTGTATATAAACTCTCAACAAAAACCAGAACCGCTTGCAGTTTAAACTTGACCCTTTTGTGTTGTTCTCAATCTTTCTATGGAAATGGCAATGTTCAAGAAATGGGGTGACTGGCAGAGAAACTATCTGTCTGGGTAGGACTCCCAGTGTCAGGGATGGTCCAAAACCAAAGTTTCTCTTATATATATATATATAAAAGATTGGTTGAGGTAATTTAAGAAAAAAATATATAAAAGAATATTGATTTTAACTGGATTAGAGGTACTAAAAGGTAAGCCTCAGGTCAAAATACCAAAAGAATAATTACTAGGGACTTGGGAATTACGATTTTCTGCTTCCCATAAAATGACAAAGATATATAACTCCAAAAGGAGCATTTCTTATCCTAGGGTTTTGACTTGCCTAGCAAAGACAAAAGGTCACAGAGGGTCTTCGTAGTTTCTAATGGAAAAGACACCATTAAACAATAAAATCAACTTAGAGCCAATAGACATTCAATAATAAGACATTAATTTTCAAGCTTGGAAGAAGCAAATATATGTAATTTCGACAAGAAAAGAAATGTAATGTGATATTTATCCTTTCAAATGTAATTACTGGTAGTACATTACATATGATACAAAGAAATGATACAATGAGCACAGATTCGTACAACAGAATTCACTATGGATCTACATTTTCGATCCTTATTATACAGAGAAATTTGTTTGAACCAAAAGTAGAAAGTTGTCCGCAAACGACAAAGAAAAAGAAGGAAATGTACGTTATTGCATGTATGTTGGTCCACTTCAAATTGACCCTACTCGAGCTTAGTAGTGTTTTGGTGGTGGGGGTGATGCATAGATGTATGGAGGCGGTGGAGAGTGAGTTGGGGGTGGTGGAGATGTATACTAGTACGGAGGGGGTGGGGATTTGACTGGAGGAGGAGGTGATGTGTAGTGGTATGGGGGAGGGGGAGACTTCTTTGGAGGAGGAGGAGATGAGTAGTGGTATGGAGGTGGTGGAGACTTCTTTGGAGGAGGTGGAGATGTGTAGTGATATGGTGGAGGAGGAGAGTTCATTGGAGGAGGAGGAGATGAGTAGTGGTATGGAGGTGGTGGAGACTTCTTTGGAGGAGGAGGAGATGTGTAGTGGTATGGTGGAGGAGGAGACTTCTTTGGAGGAGGAGGTGAGGTGTAGTGGTATGGTGGAGGGGGAGATTTCATTGGAGGAGGAGGAGATGAGTAGTGGTATGGAGGTGGTGGAGACTTCTTTGGAGGAGGTGGAGATGTGTAGTGATATGGTGGAGGAGGAGATTTCATTGGAGGAGGAGGAGATGAGTAGTGGTATGGAGGTGGTGGAGACTTCTTTGGAGGAGGAGGAGATGTGTAGTGGTATGGTGGAGGGGGAGATTTCATAGGAGGAGGAGGTGAGGTGTAGTGGTATGGTGGAGGGGGAGATTTCATTGGGGGAGGAGGAGATGAGTAGTGGTATGGAGGTGGTGGAGACTTCTTTGGAGGAGGAGGAGATGTGTAGTGGTATGGTGGAGGAGGAGATTTCATAGGAGGAGGAGGAGGTGAGGTGTAGTGGTATGGTGGAGGGGGAGATTTCATTGGGGGAGGAGGAGATGAGTAGTGGTATGGAGGTGGTGGAGACTTCTTTGGAGGAGGAGGAGATGTGTAGTGGTATGGTGGAGGAGGAGATTTCATAGGAGGAGGAGGAGGTGGGGATGAGTAGTGATATGGTGGTGGGGGAGATTTCTTTGGAGGAGGAGGAGATGAGTAGTGGTTTGGAGGTGGTGGAGACTTCTTTGGAGGAGGTGGAGATGTGTAGTGATATGGAGGTGGTGGAGACTTTGTTGGAGGAGGTGGAGATGTATAGTGATATGGTGGAGGGGGAGATTTCTTTGGAGGAGGAGGAGATGAGTAGTGGTATGGAGGTGGTGGAGACTTCTTTGGAGGAGGAGGAGATGAGTAGTGGTATGGAGGTGGTGGAGACTTCTTAGGAGGGGGTGGAGATGTGTAGTGGTATGGTGGAGGGGGAGATTTCTTTGGAGGAGGAGGAGATGAGTAGTGGTATGGAGGTGGTGGAGACTTCTTAGGAGGAGGAGGTGATGTGTAGTGATATGGTGGAGGGGGAGACTTCTTTGGAGGAGGAGGAGATGTGTATTGGTATGGAGGTGGTGGAGACTTCTTTGGAGGTGGTGGAGATGTGTAGTGATATGGTGGAGGTGGAGACTTCTTTGGAGGAGGAGGGGATGAGTAGTGGTATGGAGGTGGTGGAGACTTCTTTGGAGGAGGAGGAGATGAGTAGTGATATGGAGGAGGTGGCGATGGAGATGGAGGTGGTGGAGATTTGTAGTAGTAAGGCTCATAAGCCACCACACTGGTGGCCACAAGGCAAATTGCTATGGCATGTATCATTGGGGACGTATGTCCCAGTTTCCCTTGGTTTCCCATGTTTAGAAGTCTTGCCTTTCGTGTTTGCATGGTTAGCATGGATGCTATCCCTTTATATAGTGATCTCTTCAATCATTGTAGACAAAGATATGCATTTTAATGATGATTACAGCCTAGATTAAACCATATAATTAGTTTCCAAATCTGACTGAGCTACAACTCCTATATTCTTCATGTCTTTTGTCTACTTGTCCTTGGTGCTTTCCCACTACTTCTTCTCAATCATGCATATAATAAACCTTGAAATTGTCAGCTTGAGAGTTGGTGAAGTACTGCCACAATATTCTATGTTAGAACTCTACAACGCGTTTGTAGCCAAATTGACCTAAATGTCTTTTAGACATTTACAAAAAGATAATAGAGGTGATAAGGAGAAATGAATAAGCAAGACAGAGAACATAATTTGCAAGTCAAAGATTACCATTTTTTATTTTTCACTAAAAAATGCCTTCTTATTTAGACCTGGCAAATTCTTGCAAAATGGCTGAACATTGTAATGAAAAGGTTATGTTGGTAGGTGGGAAGTTATAATATCTCACTGTCGGTGAATAAACAAAGGGGCACCAGAAATTAACATAATTTAAAAACTAATGTCAAACATTTGATCATGTAAGAGTTTGCCAACAACCTCTAATAAATTGAAGAAGATTAATCTTGCTTCCCTGGATAATCTAATGAATTATTTTCTTGTTAACTTGTCATCATAAGTTTTGACATGAATTCGATGATTCAATATATAATTAATTATATAAACTAGTAATGTGAAAATTGAGGTTTACCCTCTTTGAAAAGCCTTTTATTTTCTTTTGTACGGTATTAGATTTGTTTTGTACGGTATTAGATATGGAGTGATAGTGAATTTTAAAAATTCAGTTTTTTAAGATTAAGTGTGATTCAATGCTAACCTAACAAAAAAAAAAAAAAAATTTTGATTGACGTAGAAATTTATCGGAACATATATAATCTCTCTCTCTCTCTCTTTCTCTTTCTATATATATATATATATATATCAATTTTTTCAAATATTAACAAATAAATAAATAAACTAAAATGTTGGTTTACCATTCATTGTATTGTTACAATAACTATTCATCCAAACTCATTTCATTATTCACAAGACTTATATGTGCTGTTACTTTCACTATGTAGTGATATTTTTATAGTTTTTAAATTTTTTAAAAGCATTACATTTTGATCATTCTTTTTTATTTTATTTTGGTCTTTGTTTTTTTTTCCCTATGATTTTTTGAATTAAAAATTTTAAGGCAAAAAGATTAGAAAAAAGTTTACAAAATCAGTTTTTAGTTAAGAATCCATTGATTTTAAACTTTTTTTCTTACATAATTATAAATTTTTTTAGTAAGATTATGGATAGAGATAAATAAATAATATTTTTTAATTAAAAATTTATAAAAAATATAAAATTTTGATTAAAAAATTAAATAAATTTGTATTCAGTTTTAATTTAATATATTTTGGTAGATGTATAATATAACTGCAGAGTATCAAATTGAAATAATTTTTTAAAAATAATTTTATATGTTACGTCCGATCCGAAGCATAATGAGGGTTAAAAAGCTAGTTTATCTCTAATTCAAAAGAGACAGAGTACCATTAATGCCAGAGAAAATAATGGGGTAGGAATGATGAGAAGTTAATTATTTTCTTGTTTGATTGGTCAAATATATATATATTCCCAACGCCATAACTAAACCATCCTACAGGAAAAAAAATATTGAGTATTCTATATAAAATCACAGTGCATTGTATCTGCAATGGAAAAATGAGAAGATTCATTTCTACAAAATATGTATTATCATTTCAACAAACTATTATTATTTGTGGAAGGGTTCACGATCTGTACATGTTATGGAAAAATGAGAAGGTTCTTTTTGCCTTACTAATAATCTATTATCATCAATCAATCAAATAAATAAATGAGAAGGTTCTTTTCAACGCAAATAAATAAAGGTAAAAGAATCTTATCATTCAAAAAAATTTAAATCATTTGAAGTTGAAGTTTTGAGTTTTTTTTTTTTTTATTGATTTTAGAGATCTATGTACTTTTTTTAAAAAAAAATTTAGTCCATTCAATAATTTTCAACTATTATATATATATTTTTTTAAAAAATTCAATTCTTGATATCTTGAGTTATACACATATGTTGAAAATTTTTTAATCCATTTTGTTGAAAAATTTAAGACTATATTTGTTTATTTTTTAAATATTAAAAATTTTAAAAATTGAGAAAATAGAAAATAACTCTGAAATAATTCTAATTTTTTTTAGCAACTCCACATAGATCTCACTGAATGATTTTTATTATAGAACTATTCATGTGATTTTTTTTTTTTTTTTGAGATAAATAACACAAAATTTAAGATGGGCTAAATCTGAAAAATTAAAAGTTCAATGCTTTTCAAAATTAATTTTTGGTAATTAGACCCTTTTAGCCAATAAATAAATAAATAAAAACTATTGTCTAGTTTGATTTCTAGTTGAAATGTTAAACAATTTGTTCAGAAATTCCACAGAATTCCACACAATAGTAGTCTCCTAATAAAATAGGGAAAATTGGACTTATAATTTATGAAGTGCAACATTTCCAATTCCAATTAAAAAGATTGTCGCTAATTAGGTTAAATCTTCAATTAATTTCTCTGATTGATCCATTCTTCTAACATATTAAGGGAGTTGGTCAGTTCATACGTAATGAACCAGAACACTAAGCAGCGTATGCTGTGTGTGTTAATTAGGAAGTCAATTAAGAGAGACTTATTCATAGTCCATTTATATTGTCCGTACACATATAGCTATATTCTCTTCATTTACATATTCTTTTTTTTTACCAAACACGGCATGAATATTTCTATTTTTTAAAATTGATTGCATCAGGTCCAAATGGTTTTAGGTTAAATAATAATAAACATAAGTAATTGAAGGTCAAATTTTATAGCTTTATTAAAAGAAATTGATGTGACAGTCCAACGATTATGTATCCAATAATTTTTTTTTCAAAAAAAAGATTTGAGTCCTAGTAATTTTATTTTATTTTGATTATTATGTAATGGAGGATGATTATTTTATTGTGTAGCCGAAAACTCAATGAACCATACAATAGAAGATGATTATTTCTATTGTTTAGCTGAAAACTCAACGAACCTCTTGATGACTAAAAAAAAACCTGATTTGCAAGGTCAAATTATTTCTTTTTTTAATTTTTCGGTTGGTTGTAAAATGCAAATCAAGGCAAATATAATTTAATGCAATTATTGTTTGACGAGGGGACATGATTGAGAACTCTTAGTTGTGCAGAGGGACAAAGAAAAAAGAGCACGATGATTGTTCAAAATTGGATTCTAGAAGTTTATATATTTTTGCTTGTCAAAGACAAAAAATCATTATCACCAAAAGAACAGTAATTAAAACTGTGGAAAAAAGAGAGCTAAGGTTCATAATTCCATATCTGCTCCACTTTTGTCTTTCACACTAAAAACGAAATTTGGTGTATCTAATATTATATATTTCAAGAATTAGTTGGGAGATCAAAATGTTAAAAAAATATATTAAGTCTGCTGCCACTATCGCTGGCATAATCTTTAACTGCTGCTGGAGTGTTTATCTGCTGAACTAGTTCCTTTTTGTGTACTTTGGACTTTTCTCAAAATTTCCTCGATTTTGGAAGTATAAAAAAAGCTTTGATGCAATGGATAAATATTCTATCAAGGGTCCCGGCTCCGAATGATAGGAACAAGGAAAAAAAAAAAATGACGGCTGAGAGTACATATATGTATAATGAGCTTTTCTATACTAACTTGAAGTAACTACATTTGTACTAATTTCATGTAAGTAATTAATATGTTTATGCTCATTTTCCAAAAAAAAAAAAAAAAGCTATGCTAAAATATTTCAAGAACTTTTAAAATTAAATATATCAACTAAATTTCGTAAAAGTCATTGAATGCATGAAAAGATAGAATCTTTACATAAGATTTAGACTTGGGAGCTTGTCCGACCTCTCAAAAGAAGGAAAACTTGTCGGACCTCCCAAGGAAAAGAAAACATCGAAAGAAAGGATAGTATTCTTTAAGTTGAAGTTAGTGGTGAGCAAACGATTCGATTAACTAAAAATAAAACTAAATTGAATTATATAATTTTATTCGGTTTTAAAATAAAATTTGTAAAATTTTAAACTAAATAAAAAAATCGAAATAATTTCGATTCGGTTTGGTTTTTGAAAAAAATTTCGATTTCGATCGAAAACCGAAATAAACCTTAAAAACTAACAAAAACTCCTAAATTGTAATTTTAATTTCTAAATCCTTAAGTCACACAAACACTAAAACGCTTTCAGCCGCACCCGCACGTACCTTGCACTCGGCTTACTCCTCTCATTCCGTGATTTCCGTCTTCCCTAACTAGCAATCGACCGTCATTCCTTTTTTCTTCTCCAGCTTCTCTTCTCGTCCCTCATTACTCATTTCCTCGAGAGTCTAGTCCTTCTTCAAATTCCAATCTCACCAGTCACCACCCACCGTTTGCTTAACCATCACGACCACCTCTTTGTGATCTTCCTCCAATCATCGAGCATTGGTCATCACTCACCACCTTCCTCCTCTTGCTTAGCTACTATTGGTCTCTTGTTAAAATTGATCTTTTCAATTTATTATAAAAATTCACATTAAGTTAACTTTTATTCTTATTTTTATATTAAAAATTAAATATACATATTCTAATATAATTATTTTTTTTGCATAAACCGAAGATTATATAATATATACGATATGTTTTTAGATTTTAGAATAAATATATACTATTTTTATTGTTTAAAATTGATTTTTTCAATTTATTATAAAAATTCACATCAAGTTAATTTTTATTCTTATTTTTATACTACAAATTAACTATACATCTTCCAATATAATACAAATTATTTACTATGAATATTTTTTAAACATTATAGATCCAATTTATTTGAAATAAAATAATTAAAATAATTTTTTAAAGGAACTAATCAATTATTCAAATATATATTTTTATGGTAATTTTATTGATTATTTTGTAAATAAATATACATAGATCAAATGCATATACTTGAAAAAAAAATCTTCTCACTAACATTAAATAAGAATAAAATTTTATTTTTTCATTGGTTAATTTTTATGCAAGTTTATACATTAATTGTAACTTTATTTTTGGATGCATTCTTATAAATAAATATAATTTTAAAGCTTTTTTTTTTTGAATTCTTAATTAATATTTCGGGTTTAAATTATTACAAGTTTTTATTTAAAAATCCCTGAATAAAGAAAAATAAATTATGTTTTCTAAGTAGAAATTTTATGAAAAACACACTAAAAATAGTTTCAATGAAATAAAAAATTAATGAAAAAATTTTGAAAATTTGAAATGATTTTGTTCTATCTACTCGTATCGTTACGCGTATAATTTCAAAAATTAATGTTCTTATCAGCATTAAATAAGAAATTTTTTTTTCATTTGTTAATTTTTTGTAAAAGTTTTTCCATTAATTATAAATTTTTTTTTGGGAATACAATATTATGAAAATTATATTTTTAAAGTTTTCTTTAATTCTTGGTTAATATTTTAGTTAAAATTATTACAATTTTTTTTATTTAAAATCAATCCATAAAGAAGAATGATTTATGTTTTTTTTTTTAAGCAGAAAATTTATAAAAAACATTAGAAAAAATTAATTAAATAAAAAATTTTAAAAAATTTTAAAATGACTTTGTTCTACTAGACTCGCAGGGTAGCATGGGCAACCAGTTAGTCTAAACTATAGTTTACATGAATTATTCGAAGAAAGATTTTATTGGAGAACATATCTATATTCAATAAATTCTTATTATAAGAAGAATAAAAAGGAATTTCTAACTGAAAGTAGGTCTTTTAAATCTTTGTAATCAAACTTTCAAAGCCAAAAAAATAAACAAATTATTGTTTTCTGTTATGCATACAATTTTTCTTCAATAAATATAATAAATTAATTTTTTAGTTTTTTTTAATTGAAATTTAATGTTTTATCTTTATGTGTGTTTCCTTTATAGTAGTTTTACTAGCATATATCCCGCATGTTGTCCCGAGGTGAATTATATAACATTCTTATGCATTCATTAATATAAAATTTAACATTTGTAAATCATTATTTGACAATATCACGTGAAAATAATTAAAAAAAATTAAAACATATATTTCATAATTTGCTACAAGGTTAGCTAAATGAAAAGTCCGCAAAGTTGAGTAATATAATGTTGCTAATTAGATATTGTTTGATATAAATATGTATTTTATTAATAACCGATAATTAAAATAATAATGTGGTAGTTTTTTGAATTTTTGATGATTAATTTTTATCATATATTATTCATCCGTAATTTGTTAATGAGACAGAGAGACCACTCAAAACAAAAACGCAAAAAAGGTTTGTCAAATCAAGAATTTAACAAAGAAAATAGAGATAAAATTACACATGATAAAAATTAAATGATTAAAACAAAGTAAAGATTATAAAAAGGATAAAAATAAATTTCACTAAAAGCATACAAAAAATACTTATAAATAATAAGACTAAAAAAAATTTCATTATGCATAAGGCAGGAACAAAAGTAAATATTATAGAATTTTAATGAATAAAACAAAAAAATTAATAAAATAAGAATCAAAACAGAAAATTTTTCACTAAAAAAAAAAACTTAGCATAGTTAAAATGTATTTAATTTTAATGTAAAATGAATAATAATTAAATATCATAAAATTTTAATGATCAGAATAAATGAAAGATTATAAAACAAAAACCAAAATATAACAAAATTTTTATTAAAAGTAAAAAATAGTTCCTTGTAGGAAAAAAAATTAATGATCAAAATAAAAAATAATTACAAAACAAAGACTAAAAAAAATTCTACTAAATTTAATGACGAAAAGAAAGAAAAAATAACAAAATAGAAATTAGAATAGAAAGAAAATTTCAGTATTTAAAAAAAAAACCTTAGGATAGTAAACTTTATTTAGTTTTAATATAGTAAGGATAAAAATTAAATATGAGAAAATTTTAATAATTAAAATAAACAAAAAGAATGAAGGGACAAAAATAAAAAGCAATTTCCTAAGCCAAAATGGAAGGAAAAAAAAACAGCCGGAGCCGGGCGTTAGTCCGAGCCTCGCACGTCGAGCTCAGGCTGCTGCAAAAAAAAAAAAAAAAAAAAACTTTCGACGAATCGAGGTCGTCGGAAAGTCGTGGATCAAGTTTCGGACTCATAGAAATTGAATTCCGACATCATTTTTTCCCAAACACATCTAAATAACCGGAATAAAGCCAATAAACATATCTAAAATCTTAAAAATCATTTTAATGCACACAAAAATAAAAACAAATTATACAATCAAATCAGAACATTGTTTTCTTTTTTTGCTCCGATCTAGCTTCTCTAATTGTTTCATGGCTTGAAACAACCATAGAGAAACTTATCTTTCAAAAATAAAAAAATCTAATGAATTTTCGCCGGCCAAAGTGACCTAAATAAGCTTGGCCGAAGATCTCTCTCTCCCCTTCCGTCTCTCTCTTCCCTCCTTCCTTCTCTCTCATCTAGGGACCAAAATGGATGAACAAATGAAGATGTGGACCGAAAGATTTATTAGCGAAGATAGGGACCAAAGTGTAAAAAAATTAATAAATAGTGAAATATTAGTGTATGAATAATATTTAGAACAAGTAACCTATTGTTTTGTTTTAGTTTATTTAATTAATATTTTTACTATATATTTTTATTCCTTTTTTGTTGTACATGCAATATTTAGGCAATTAATATGTTTATTTATTTAATTTTTTTGGTTTGTTGAATTTAAATTCATTGTTCTATGTTTTTGTGTGGTTTTCATTTATGGTGGATTTATATTTCTAGTACTTGTTTTTTGATAATATTTTATGGTGTTGATAAATAATTATTTTAAAATTTTTTTATTATAAGTCTATATCCCAATTTATTTTTCATTACCTTTTTATTTTATTTTATTTATTTATTTATTTTTGTCTAAACATCCATATCAATAAAAGTTCTTCCAAACCAACTTTAATGATGCAACTTTTTTTCCTCTCTTTTATTAAAACAAAGTAACATAAAAATACTCATTTATAACATATAGCCGCTTTCACATGTTGAAATTACCTCTTTATTTTCTCTTTTTAACATTATCATTAAAATACTACCAAACTAACGGTAAGTTTGCACGCTCAAGAATTTCCATACAGCAAAACAATTTTGAGAATATGTAATTTAATATTATACATAAACAAAAATTCATGAAATAATAACTTTAAAACCTAACAAATTCATGTAATTATATGCTCAAATTGAATAATCTAAATAATTTGTACAAGTTGGTTTCATTTGGTGTGTCCAATTAATGACTTTAAGCCCAGAAAATTGTAGCAACTAATATTTTGGTATGTACCTGAGTTCTTATAGTTATTTTTCTTTTCTCTGGGACTTGTTTCATATTACATCAAGTAATTTTATTTTACTATTTTATCATTATGAGATTAGATTGTGAGTTTAAGCATATAATGTCCTTTTTTAATACGACATTTGCTTGAAAATTGATAAATTAATGCAAAAAAATAAAAAAAATTGATTCTACCACTGTATTCAAATTAAATTTACATCCTTTTTAATACCATATTTAAATCAATAAATGATTATGCCATAGTTCCAATGATTTCTTTGTCAAAAAGCTGTTATTTTTTCTTCTACTTTTCTTTGTTTAATAGAGTTGAACGATCCCTTTTATGGAGTTATCTTCAAACGATGGTTCAAACTTCAAATGTTTGATAGATCCAACAAATTTACGTCGTTCAGAAACAAAAATAAATTATTTGGCTCAAATAAGTAGGAGTGTTGATTTTAAATATGGAAACAATTATCCTACAGAAAGTAAATAAAGAGATAATCTATTTCCCTCCGGTCTTTGTTATTCCACACTACGCTTTTAACTAGTTGCTCAGATTTTTCAAATGGCATCCCAAGCAACCTATGTTGCCCTAGGCCCACCAGGTCCACTGATTAACTGCTAGCCTTGCCCTCCATCCATCCATAGATTGCAGACAAAGTGTTCTCAAATATGAACAGATTCAATCATCGTACTCAGACAAGTGAGGAACATGTGCAAGGGAATACAAATGCAGGCTAGAGAATACGCAAAGAAAAGCTTGATGTACTCGGAAAATCTTTTAATATTTATAATTGAAGAAGGAATTCAGTACAGAACGATAGGGGGAACACAAAAAAAGGACAGCAAGTATACATATATGTATAATATAAACTACAAACAAACAGGCCAAGGCACTAGGCCAGGAGGAACCACTGTCTGCAACCCTTCAACAGATAGGAAGAGGGACTTGAAAAGCTTATGGCAGTTGAAGATTTCCCATTTTCTGTTCTCTTCCTAGGTGTTTCACATTCACTAATGTCAAGGGTACGGCATTCGGTCTGCAAGAGTTCCAAGCAATCTTTTTTAGCTGACATCTCAATATTCACAGGGCAGAAAAAATAAAGTGAAAATATACTAGGATGAATTTTGGCAACTAAACAGGGTGGTGACAAATAAAAATGTTTTGTGAAAGTTCTGCACAATCAGTCATACCGAAACATTTGGAACTAAATTGGAGCGATTCTCTTGTTCACAATTGGGATCATTGGAGCGCCTTCTTTCTTTTAATATGGACTCCTGAGTGTCTTTACCCAAAACTTCCAAGGCATCGGCATATGCTGAGGCAGTGTGCTCGCTTAACTGTTTCATTAATGCAATAGCATCATAGCTTCTGTCCCCAGGACTCATAAAATAACCAATATCCTGATACGAAATTCCAGTTAGTTAAAAGAATCTCTAAACATATCTGGTAATTAACTTATCAAAGAAAGTTATCTACCTCGATGGATATTTCCGTATCAATCCTCGGGCCTGGCACAAAAGAATTAATGAACCAAGGTGACTTCCATGCCGATGGGGATTCAATACTCCTTTTGAAAGGAGTATCACCAAACCTAGAAAAATAAACCCCATCAACCAAGCATCTAATAAGAATCATGGTAATGCCAAAACAAGAAGTAGCATATAACTAACTCATCACAGATGAAGCTAGAAATTGCCTGGAAATGCTAAGTTCCAACCCAAACATAAACTACCATCTGCTTCCATAAATAAAAATGAGACAGGAATATTTGACATGGCAGCATCTTTACTCAACCACTAAACAAACAGTGTGGTGACAAGGATTATTAAAGAAATACAGAAAACTTACATGCCAAAATTTTCAGTGCCAGCATTGTGCCCAGAATTATCAGGCATATTCTCAGAGGGGGCTGACGTACTTTCAACTAAGTGACTTCCATGATTCTTCTTACTAACAGTAGGGCTAGTAATTATGCATGGATTTCCAGATGTGGATTCTGAAGCACTGGCTTGATCTGATAAAGTGCCCAAAATTTTACGTTACAAATTTCTAGGAGTTCGAGCACTGGGACCAAATGCTCTGTCTGCTTTAAACCAAGTTGATCAGGAGAAAACAACAGATCATTGGTGTTTTCTTCAGCCAGAACTTCAGAAGACTGTCGCACCTACCAAAAGGAGGGAGGAAGAGACAAATATTGTTCGAATTATGCCTTAGAACCTGCTGCAGAGAACCTGCAGTTTTGCAGCTATGCTGATCAACTCCAACTGGCATGCCAAGCAAGCAGTGACATGTCAAGCTAAGTGTGCAGCCCTCTTAAACATGCTGAAAAGAGTCAAGGAACGTTGCTATTCTTCTGGCACAAGCAGAGATTTGTAACTGAAGACCTATTCCCCAGGCTTAGGGGAAGCATGTTTGTGTTTTTGTTTTGCTATCAATTTTGTTAAGTTAGTTGATATTTTTATATTTACAGGCCACGTTTATTACTTTCATTCAGTATTTTTGTTACATTTTTATGTATTTAAGCAACCCTTGTTAATGAATCTAGTAGACAACTTTCAGTCTCTTGCATATTGCACTTGATTTTGTTTCTTTTAATCAACAATTTGTATCGGAGCACATTTCTTATGAGATCTGTGTGTGTGCAATTTGTGAGTGAACCGAGAGTGAGTGTATCAAACACGAGGGTGAGAGTACCAATCAAACACCTATACTTTTCAAATTCATTTCACAAGTGCAATTTAAAATGGCCTCAAATAGTTTTTCTCTTGCTCCACCTTCCGTTTTCACCGGTGAGAATTACCGATCATGGGTTGTTAAGATGATAGCATATTTGCAAGCTTGGGATCTTTGGGAAACCGTGGTAGAGGAGCTAGTTGTTCCACCACTCACGGAAGAATTCAACACATCAAGAGTCATAAAGAGAAAACATCCAAGCTTTTCAAAGCCAAAACCTACCTATATTCAGCTATGTTTGACAATTTGTTTACCAGGATTATGAACCCGGAAACAACCTTCCAAATCCGGTAGCATCTCAAGCATGAGTTTCAAGGCAATGCGAGAATAAAAAGCCTAAGGATATTTAATCTCGGTGAGGGTTTCGAGCTATAGAGGATGAAGGACTCGAGGATCGTAAAGGAGTATGGAAATAGGTTACCGGAGATAGTTAACAAATTCGAGCTCATTGGTGGACGGATGCCTAATAACAAGGTGGTTGAGAAGTTATTGGCCACATTGCTAGAGAGGTTTAAGGCAAAGATTTCTACATTGGAGGAAATCAAAGGCCTCACAAAGATCACACTAGTTGAGCTTCGAATGCACTAGAGGCTCATGAACAAAGAAGGAACTCTTAAAGGAGCAATGCAAGCCAAGTTGTAAATAAAACGGAATCGGGAATCATGCAAAGGCAAAAAGAGAAAAGGAAAAAAGAACAAGAGCGAGTTACAATGCTTATGGATTGATAGTGATCGGAATGTATGTAATTAATTGCTTAATTCCCCGTATTTTATTGTTTGACGTATCTAAATGATAGACTTTAACTCGTTTTTGCATGTTATATACAAGGATATGGAATGGGTTGACAATCGTGCTAAAAAGAGCCATATAAAGAGCAAATTTGTAAATGAGACTAATGCTAACACTCGGAAAGCACAAAGAGCGTAGGCACGTAAATGTGGTAGATAGGTACACACAAGAGCATGAAGGCATGGGCACGTTGCAAAAAAAAAAAAAAAGCATAGGCACACCGAAGATCGTAGAAATAGACAATGGACCTCAACTAGAAGGCAAATTCTATTGCAATTTACACTGACAAGTATACTAAGATTTTTCGAAGAGGGTAGAAAGAGGAATGACAATTTTGTACCCTTTTTGGAAAATAGAAAACCCATATAAATAGGAATGTGGCGTAATATGGTAGACACCTTTTTGATGATGGGAAAGATGGTCGCCTTCATTTCCTTCTTTTCTCTCCCGACGGTTGCCATGAATATTTTCATGAGCAGACTAAACCCTCCTTCCCTTAGGTAAAGGTAATTGAAGCTTTTGAAAATCAAAGATTTTGAGGTGCTTAAACATTAATGCAAATCATTTTGTTCATTTCAAGTATTAAACTTTCTTCCATGCTTGTTTTTCATAATTGCTTAAGTCGATTACTATCATACGCAGTTAGTTTATTGACTAATGTAATATAAAGCTAGATCAAATATTGAACAAGTAATTGTTTAATCTCTTTTGATTTTTATAGTAACTAGGAGTGTATTGTTTGTCGTGTCGAAACTACCGACTCTTATGAATATTGTTTAACTAGATTAAATGCACTACATGTGTTGTATTGTCTTATTTTATTGGTCTTTCTCATACATAAAGCTATTGTTTGATTAAATCTTAGATCGTACATAGGATTATTAAATAATAAGGGTTAACTAGAATACATGTTGTTAGTTGGCTAATCATAAAGAAAGAATAATTTTAATATCATAACAAATACTTGAATGATAAATTGATATTTTTGCACACCAAAGATAAATATTAAGTTCCAAAGGCCGATGTGACTCGAACCAAGGTCATTTACTTGAATATTTATCATTATATTCATTTTTTGAATTTAATTTGTTTAGTTTTTTATTATATCTCAATCGAATCCAAAACCCCTCTCTTTATTTTAGTTTCTTCTTGATGTGTAACAACTAACACAATAGAACTCTTCGTGGGATCGATCCCTACTCTCTCACTACATTTGTTTTGAAGGAGTTTAATTTGGATGTATGCGACAACACTATCAAATTTTAGCACCATTTCGGGGAGTTCATAGTTGTTTATGTATGTTACACGATCCAAAAGCTTATGAGAAAACCTACAGCTTGATATGAAAATTGAAAAAATCGCTAAAAGACTAAGAAAAATCACAAAACGAAGCAAATAGGGTAGTGGACAACTTTTAAAACTATGGAGAATGCAGCTATGGATAAAATATTAAGGGAGCTTGCTACCCTTGATTTGGATCAACAACTTGATCGCATCAATTTCCCTAACTTGATGCAAATGTCACTTTTGAGCTGAAATCCGGGCCGATACATCTTTTGCTTAGTTTTCATGGATTGCGGGTGAAGATCTTCACAAACACTTAAAAAAGTTTCATATGGTGTTTACGGATATGAAACCAAATAGAGTTACCGAAGAGCAAATTAAGCCGAGGGCATTTTTGTTTTCTTTGAAGGATGATGCTCAAGTTGGCTCTATTACCTATATGCCGGGAGCATTACCACTTGGAACGAGATGAAGAGGTTATTTTTAGAGAAATTCTTTCCAACCTCAAGGGAAACCAGCATAAGAAATGAGATTTATGGTTTTAGGCAACAAAACGTAGAGTCATTTTATGAGTATTGAGAGCGTTTTAAAAAGCTACGTGTAAGTTATCCACACCACCAAATCACAAACCAATTCGCTCATTCAATATTTTTATGAAGGACTTTTACCATTAGACCAAAACTTGATTGATGTAGCAAGTGGTGGTGCTTTGGCTAACAAAACACCCAAAGAAGTCGGGACGTTGATAGCAAATATGGCATCCAACACACAATAATTTTGAACTAGACTCGACTATGCCACTTGATGAGTCGATGAGGTAAGTTCTTCTTCCCTTTAAAAGTATTTTAATGACCTTACTCGCTCTTGTTCGTTAATTAGCAACAGGAAAAATAGAAATAGAAAAAGCTTGCGGAATTTATTTAGTGGTGGACATGCAACGAACATTTGTCCAACCTTCAAAGATGACAACATTGAATAAGCAAATGTCGCAAGTAGGCTTCCAGGATCGCCATAGCAAAATTATAACCCTTTTTCCAACACATACAACTCAGAGTTAGAGGGATCATCTTAATTTTTGCTATAGCGAATGCCCCAATGAATTAACCCTTTACTAATTTTCAGCCATTTAAGCAACGAATACCCCCTAGACATCAACCACATGCTCAAACTTTTGATTCAAGTATTTCTCTTGAAGGAATTATTAAAACTTTAGCTACTAACGCCGTGAAGTTTCAACAACGGATAAAGAATAGCATTCAAAACTTGAAGCATCAAGTGGGTCAATTAGCCAATGTTATCGCAGAATCGAAGCTCAAAATTCGAATAAGTTACCCTCGTAAACGAGTAGTGAATCCAAAAGAGAATGTGAGTGTGGTAGTTTTACGAAGTGGAAAGGAGTTAGAGCAACCAAATAAGGTGCTTCTTGCACTAGTACAATGACAAATTAAAGAAGAAGAGGAGGCGGCGAACAAGCCCTTCAAAAGAAAAAAGAAGTGGCGGGTAAGTCTTCGCCATCATAAGAATGTAGAATCCCTCCTCTCTTCCTTGGTGCTTTAGTTTCTACTCGCAAGCTTAGAAGCAACACCAACTTGTATGAAACATTCTAAAATTATATGATGAATATTCCATTATTAGATGCAATTAAGCAAGTCCTTCACTATGCTAAATTCTTGAAAGAATTATGCACGAGAAAGAGAAAGCGAGAGGTGAGAAAGAGGTGAGAAAGTTAAGATGGGTTAAAATGTTTCAACCATCATACAAAGAAACCTTCCCGAGAAATGCAAGGATCCAGGTATATTTTGCATTCCATGCACAATAGGTAGTTCGATATTTAAAAATCCATGTTAAACCTAGGATCATCCATTAATGTTATGTCATACTCCATCTACATCACTATTAACCTTGGACCTTTAGAGGAAACAAACGTTGTTATTCAATTGGTTGATAGATCCATTGTTCATCCTAAGGGAGTAGTTAAAGATGTATTAATGCAAGTTGATGCAAAACCGACTTTCCCTACTAATTTCTATATCCTTGATGTAGAAAAAGAGGATAATTTAGCACCAATTTTATTGGGAAAGCCTTTCTTCAAAACTGTAAGAAAAAAAATCGATGTCTATAATGGTATCTTGACCATGGAGTTTAATGGTGAAATCATAAAGTTTAACATTTATGATGTAATGAAATACCCCGATTTTGATTATCCCGTGTATTCAGTTGACATAATTGATTCTTTACCACAAGATGTGTTCGAAATTGATGAAGATGATGAATTGGAGGTAGTTAATCATGAGCACCTTTGGGAAACAAGCATTGAGTTATAACTCGGATCTAAAATACGAGAAGTCGTGATCGAGATGAATAAATTTGAGAAGCCGAAAGGCTCAAAAAACGTATCTTATATGAGCTTTCGATACGTGCTCGAACAACTTCAACCATTTGTGTTGTAAGCCCCGATGCTAGAGCTAAAACCTTTCCCTAACCATCTTAAATATGTCTATCTCGGAGATAGAGAGACATTACTTATCATTATCTCAAGCAAACTTCGAAGGAACAAGAGGACGGACTTATGCAAGTGTTGAAACAACACAAGAGAGCAATAGG